CCAATCCTGTCTGTTGTCTCTTCCCAAACCTAGCCAGGCCCCCCTGGAGCTGCTGGCTGAGGAGGCCACTTTGCCAAGGCTGGCTTCCAGACATGGTGGAGGTCTGGAGCAAGGAAGAGACAATGGGGACTTCTTGACATGAGGCCTTGGAGCCCACTATGCTTCCAAGCCCAGTTTAGAAGCCAGCAGACTGTAGACTAGTACCCAGCACCTTTCACTCAAGAGCCAGCACCAGCACCAAGCTAGCTCTACAGCCCATTCCCTTGTCTGCTCCCCTACACTCATGGCTACACCCCATTGATAATCTCTTCCCACCCTGGGCTCCTGCCTATAGGCATGCATATGAGTTTTGTGGTATCTCTTGGCCTTCCCCCAAAGACTCAGTTATTATACAAAGCTCCTCTGCCAATTGCAGGGTCCCTCAGTACAGCCCAGCACCTCAGTACAGCACCACCCAGCATGCCCATTTCCATCCTGCTTGAATGGACTGGATCTTCCAGTAGTCACTGGGAAGGATGCAGGGGTGGTCTAGCCTGCTCCACAAGAATCCAGACAACTGGATAGAGAGAATGCTGCCTGCTTTGCCCCAAGGCCATGAGCATTGGTTCTCAGACCTTCACAGAGGCCAGCTGAGTGGATCATAGACAGGACAACGAGTTGACCTTGGACCTTGAGCATTCATCTGGCCTTTCCAAGTCTGGATACTTTCCTCCAAAGTGATAACTGTAAGAGACCCTTGGGCCAGAGCTATTGGAACTTGTCTTGTAGTTAGGGAAACAGGCAGAGAGGAAGCAGCACATGGCCCAAATGGTACAACTGCTAAGTTGGGCTGGAGTCTGATCCCAAGCAGTCTATGGGGTTCTGACTCCTTTCTCCTGTTCTTAGTGTTCACCATGCCCCTGAGCAGGCCCAGGCCCAGGCCCAGGCCCAGGCCCAGTAATATCAATAAGCTTCAGAACTGGAACAGCTGAGGCTCCCTAAGCAGAGCCAGACATACAGGCACACAGGACTCATTTGCAGGGTTCCAGGGAGGTAGGAGGAGAGACTCCAAGGGGCTACACAGGAGGTACACTTTGACAGCATACTTGGCCAGTGCCAGGCTGCCTGAGAGCTGGCAAAGGCCTGTGGAAAATACCAACCAGCCTGGGTCCTTGGGCCAACTTGATGTCTGCTCAAGACCCGCAGAATCATTACTTCTATATCCAGCTCCATCCAGGTAGTCTAAGAACACAGATTTGAGAGTTCAAAGAAACTCTGCTAGAGCATTGATCTGGGTGCTGAGCACCTTGGGCTGAAGGGGACACAATGCAGTATCTAAACAGAAGAGCAACTACAGGGGTTATAGCAGGGATCAAGTGCAAGGAGATGGCTGGGATGCTGGAAATGCAGGACTGATGCCCAGGACACACATTACCTAAAATGGCAGTCTGTATCAAAGGGTTTCCTGGCCCCCAGCGGCACCTGTGATGGTGGGAATTTGGGAGGACAGCTGGAGGCACAGTCAGGCGCCTGCGGGCAGACACCTCCTGTACCAGCAGCTGTGCTGCTGCTGCTCCTCAGCTGCCCCTTCCATCCCGTGTCAGCAACTCTTTAGGCCACATCTGAGGTTCCGATTTCCCTTGGCTGCCTCTGGGACACCTTCCCAGACATTACCCAGGCACTCACAAATGGGCAAAGCTGACCCCTCTTAACCTCTTTTCCCACCCACCTGCCAATTAGAATTTCTGCAACCATGAAATATGATATATACAGAGAAGCACACACGAGATAGAAATATGCAATTTAACAAATACTCATAAAACACTATGCAACAGAAACAGCCAGTTCTCAGAAGCGCCATCACAGTTTCTTTAGGATCTCCAGGATTCCATTTGAGATTACCCTTTCCTCCTCCCCTTTCTTGTCACTTTATTCTGTTTGTGATCCCATCTGGGTGAGGGACTCTTCCTCAGAGTCTGAGAGGTGTGTACAGCTCTGTGGTACTGTTGTAATGAAATGTCACACTGGGATATTGGGCAGGGTTCTCTCCTGGATGTGGGAATGGGACTTGTGGAACCTAGCACCTGGCTGAGGTTTGAAGGTCTCCAGAGCAAGAGTTCTGGTGTTTGGTTTCATTTGTTGTTGAGACAAGGTCTCCATATTTAGTCTTGGATGGCCCTGAACTCTGAGAGACTGGATTGTTTCTGACTCTGAGTGATGGTATTAACACAAACACCACCATGTTCAGCTAGGAGCCCTGATTTTGATCCCTTTGGAAACATGCCTCTGTCTGTGCCACCAAAGTGTAGATAGGGATTCCTGACTCCTGACTTAAACAGTAGCTGCTCATGGTCTTGATTGATGCAATGCTGTCTGATTTTATGTCAAGGGGAGAGAAGATTCTTCCACTGGAGCAGTGGTTCTCAACCTTCCTAATGCAGTTTCTAGTACTCATGTTGTGATGACCCACAAATATAAAAAGTACTTTTGCACCGGGCAGTGGTGGCACATGCCTTTAATCCCAGTGATGGGAATCAGAGGCAGGTGGATCTCTATGAGTTTGAGGACAGCCTGATCCTGCAAAGCAAGTTCCAGGAAAGCCAAGGCTGTTACACAGAGAAACCCTGTCTCAACCCCCCCCACATACCTTAAATGTTTTTGCTACTTCATAATTGTAATATCGTTAATGTTATGAATCATAATGTAAACATCTGTGTTTTCTGATGGTCTTAGGTGGCCTGTGAAATGACCCTGTGCAAGGGTCATTAGACTCCCCACAAGAGTCATGATCCACAGGTGAAAACCACTGCACTAGAGGTTCTAACATCTAACCCATAAAAAGTGCTAACCAATCATTCCCACGTCTCATTTTTTGTTTTGATTTTGAGACAAGGCTTCTCTCGGTAGCTTTGGAGCCTGTTCTGGAACTCGCTATGTAGACCGACTGATCTTGAACTTACAGAGATCTGTCTGCCTCTGCCTAGGAGTGCTGGAACTAAAGGAGTGTGCCACCACCACCAGGCCCCAGTCCTCACTTTCTAAACCAAGCTTTTGCTTGCTGACCCATGGTTTCTGCTCATATTTTTTTTTTTTAATCAATGAGACTGAACCCAGACAGACAAGAGCTGACCTCTCGTCAGCCTCTCCTACAATAAAAGTAGTTCACATATATTTTCTCAGCTAGTGCTCATTTCTCCAAGGAGGGAGGAGCTATTCATTTCCTAGCCTTATGGAGCAGCCCACAGCCCTTGTTTTCCTGATACAACATTTGCATACTTACAGCAACTTCTACTAATTCCCATTTATTGCATGTATAGTACAGCCTTTTTCTACAGAGTGAGATGTTCATCGAACTATGCTGCTGGAATAAAAATGTTTTTATTTATCTCTGTAATGCTGGGGTTGAACTTAGGCCTTCACATATTCGAGGCAAGAAGTGTGCCCTTCAGCTGACAGCCTAGCCATTTCACTTCCTTTTCCATTTCCTTTATGAGACAGGGTTCAAGTTGCAACCCCCCCACCCCCTCCACCCCTGCTGCCGCTTTGAGACAGAGTCTCACCATGCAGCCCTGGCTTGCCTGGGACTTCTTATATAGACCAGGGTGGGGTTAAACTCAGAGATCCTCCTGCCTCATTCTCGCCAGATCCCCAGTGCAGGGATTACATATCTGCAGCACTATGCCTAACTTTTGTTTGTTTGATTAATTGATTTTGAGAAAGGGGTCTTGTTATAGTGCCCAACTAGCTTTCAATTTCTGGGTTCATGTGATCTTTTTGCCTTAGCCACCTCTGTGCTTGGGGTATTTGGGGTATTGGCATGTATCATTGCATTGTGTTTGTGTTGTTTTGCTTGTTTCGATCATTATGAATTAGACTTGGGAGGAATAGACAGTTGGAAGGAGATGAGGCCTGACCTGAAAACAAGAGCTGGTAGAAAGTAACCCTACAGTTGGAGAGGGACCTGTCTGGGATCCTCAGCAAAGACTGTGAGGTGCCCTTGCTCTCAGACATGCTAATGCAAAAGAAAAGGGCTTGGAGGTGGGCTGCACCCGAGCTCTTGGTCTTTATAGCCACAGCTGTGTTTGGACTGGGCCTAAATTTCTCACTTCTCGATTAAATGAATAAAGGTCCTCTTCATGAAGAAGCAAGCTCCATCTCACGTTGTTTTGCACAGGCTTTCTGCTAACCACTTTAAAGGAATTGTCCTTTTACAAGAGGTGACAACCTGAAGCTTTGAGATGATTATGCTGGGATCCATGACTGGCTCTGGAGCTGACCCCAATGCCTACCTTTTACAGTAGGCTCAAAAGCTGTACCTTTTCCCTTGCCCATCATACTTTTGCTTTTTTTAATTTTGCAATTACTTACATGTCTTCTAAAATAGTAGCTTTCCTTTACACAAACACTATTTGAAGGGAACTTTATTAAAAATACAAGCAACAACAGGCCCCTGGTTCATCTCTCCTCTCCAGAAGAAAGCTTGGGCACAAGGAAGCTCCAGCTTCTTAGAAGAGGCGCTCCCCGTCGTTATCCGTCAGAATGTGTAAGATTACGTGTTGCAGGGCACTTTGATTTCCTGAGGAAACGCCATTGGGTGCAGGGCCCTGTCTGCTCCTTTTATGGACGCGAGAATTAAGGCAGCCCAAAGAGGGCAGCGAGTGCGAGAACCAAAGTCTGTAGGCTGACAGAAGTCCTGGGAACCTTGAGGGAGGTAAGGAGCGATCCGACGCAGTGCCCAGGATTAAGAATTTAGTTTCCCAAGCAGCAAAACGCCCCAAAGAGGTGCGCCTGCGTAGTGAGAGCGCTCTGAAAGGCTTGGGGGCGGGGAGGCCTCGGTACGCACGCAGGACGCGAGGCGGAGCCAATGCCGGAGCCTAGCGAGCTGCGCCAGGGGGCGGGGCCGCAGGCGATCCTGGGCGGGGCCTCGAGGCCGGTTTGGAATTTTTGGCGCGAGCTAGCTCCGCGCGCGTTCACGGGCCGTTCCCCTTCTGAGAGAGTGCTTCGTCCCGGTGTTCAGAGGCGCCGCTGCCGCACGCCGGCCTGTCTGGCCTCTGTGAGGCCCTCAGCGGCCTCCGCCGACCCGGAACCTGGGACCTCGCTGCTGCGCCGCGCCCCGCCCCGCCCAGCCTCCGCAGGTGAGCCCACACCCGGGTGAGGGCTCCGGGCCGCGCCGCTCTTCCGCCCGGCGCCCTGCCCCGCGCTCCTGCCGCGCTGCGCCCCGCGACGGCCCTCCGACCTCCCCTCGGTGACCGGTCGCCCCTCTGCAGCAGCCCCACCCTTCCCTGTTTGTCACGGGCCGACTGGGTGACTCCGGGTCAGCGCTGTCGCCCACGCCCCGCCTACTCCCGCGGGCCGCTCTTGGTGGCTGCCTGTCCCTCCCCATTGGAAGTCCTTTTCCCAGCACTGCCTCTCTTTTCCCTCATCTCTCTGGGAAGAGCCCCTTCCGGGTGACAGCCGGTCTACGCAATGGTGTCCCCTCTGCCACGGAGCAATCCAGCAGCAGCGCTGCCCGGGAGGAACTCACAATCTAGCGCTAGAAGGTAGTCAGCAAATGTATCCAGCCCATGAGAGGGTGAGGCCCCTGGAAACGGGGAGGTCACCCTGGCTGGTCAGTGGCGGAGGGCCACTCTGGACTCAGCCAGGACGCCACTACCAACCCTTCTCATCCCATAAAGGCGGTTTGACCAAGCCAGAGGTGTTAAAACATAAATGACGTTGAGGGGCCGGTCTTCCTGGCTGAAGGCAGAAGGTGATGGGTTCCCTGATGCTAGACATGGAGACTGTATGTATGTATGTATGTATGTATGTATGTATATTTTAATGTATGAGTATTTTTGTCTGCGTGTGTGTCTGCGCACCATGTTTGTGCCTGGTGCCTACATAAGCCAGAAAAGGGTGTCAGATCCCCTGAACTGGACTTACAGATGCTTGTGAGCCACTGTGAATGCTGAGAATCAGAACTGGGTCCTCTGGAATGTCAGCAAGTACTCTTAACCTCTGAGCCATCTCTCCTTCCCTCCCTCCCTGCAAAGCTGTGTGTTTAACCAGCATGATCATGGATCCTGTTCTTTCTTTTTCTTCCTTCTTTCCTTCCTTCCTTCCTTCCTTCCTTCCTTCCTTCCTTCCTTCCTTCCTTCCTTTCGTGAGGACCAAAATATAGGTCCCTGACCATGCTAGGACTGTTAAGCACAGGCCATTTGTGCATCTGTGGACTGGGATTCTTGAAGTAAATAGTGCCATAGCAAAAGAGCCCTCCAGCCAAGCCTCTTAAGTTCTTAACCTCACTAGGCTAACCATCGTCCAAGTAATTTGATCTAGCTACCACCCTAGGCTATATGTGGCAAATTTTGATACATTGTTTTTCCCCCTAAAATTGCTTTCAACTTGTTTTTGTTTCAGCTACAACATTGTAGCAACCTGATGCTCCTCTCTTTTCCCATTAGGCACACAAATACTTGAGTATTTGTACCACTGTGCTTGAGTCATTTCAATTACTAACTAAAGCACTGGTTATGATAATAGTTAGCATTTCTGCCAGACACCAGTCTTAAATTCTTCAGCTTTTTGTAAGTCAGTGCAGAATTGCAAGTCCACAAACTCCTGGTGCCAGGTGCTCTTCATAATTCAAAATATCCCAGAGCATATTTAGGGCATGGGGTTATATTAGTAAGTGTGTTGGTATAGCAGTTCCCTAACATAGATAACGCCTGAGCTTGATACCCAAGCACTGCATGAACTGGATGTAGTGGCACGTGCTTGTGATCCTAGCACACTAGAGAAGGTGGCAGGAGGACTCAGCTGTCCTTGGCTGCACAACAACTTTGAAGACAGCCTTTAGACCTTGTCTCTGAAAAACAAAAATATATCTCACATTTGGAAAGCACAGATGTATGATAAGGATGTAGTTCTGCTAGAGTGCTCGCCTAACATGTGCTAGGCCTTTGGTTTATTCCCTACTACCACAAATGAATAATAGCTTTTTTAAAAGGCATCACAAGAAAGCATTTATGTGTAAGACCACTAGTGAGTCTGCAACATTCAAGATCAAACACTACTATTTCTGTCAATGAATGTCAGCAGTGGTGGCTCATGTCTGTAATTCCAGTACTTACAAGACTGAGGCAAGAGGATTGCTGCAAGTTCAAGGTCAGTGTGGGCTTCATAGACTTTTCTCAAAACAAAATAAAAGTATAAATACACACACTGAGTGAGAAGAATGGATGAAGTCAATTTTTTTTTCCTAAATTACTTTTTCATGAAGCTACCCAGTTCTCTATTATATGTTGATAAGACTTCTTTCCTTTTGGGATGTTTGGCACTAACTTTGAAAACAATCCAGCTCTCTGGAGAGTGAGGCAGGAAGTTGTTCAAAGCTAGCTGTCTTGGAAAAAAAAAAAAAACACACAGAACAAGTGGGGGTGGGTTTCTTTTGAGACAGGGTCACTCTATTAGCCCTGGCTATCCTGGAATTTTCTATGTAGATCAAGATGGCTTCAAAAAAATCAGAGCTCCTCCTGTCTCAGCCTCACTGAGTGCTGGGGCTAAAGGTGTGTGCCACTTTGCCCAACTTCAAAAAAAAAAAAAACGATTAAACCATAAATTTCATCTTTTTATGAATGAACTGTTTCTATTACTGTGGATTTGAAGAAACTTTGGAAATTTGGAAGTATAAGTCCTCCAAATTTAGTCTCATGAGTTTGACTTTGGTGGGGTTGGGGGTTTGAACATCCAGTGGATTATAGAATCAGCTCTTTCTAAGTTGTCCTCTGAACTCACAGAGAACTACTTGCCTCTGCCTCCCAGTGTGCTGGGATTAAAGGTGTGTGCCACCATGGCCTGGCATGCTCATTGTTTTCTGTAATGAAGCCAGGTGGGATTCCGATGGGATTGTACTGAATCTGTGGACCAATTTGGAGAGGTTGAACAGGGATTTGTTTTCTGTGCTATACAAAGGCTAAGCTGAAGGTGTCTGAAGGTATTGAAGCTATAGTACATGGTACCATGAGCTGTACTCCAGCCCACAACTTTAAGACCATTGCTATGAACGTGTTTTCCTTTTTATTTAGGCCTTTGTATATGCATGCATCTGGGGCCTTGAAACCATAAGGACCTGCAAAAGGTTGATCTATGTGAGTCAAGAAGGAAATCCCATTCAACACAACTCAGTAGCTCGTGCTGTTTGAAACTTGTAGAGTCTGACACTGGGCAGTCTACTGTAGACATATTTAAGTACAGTACAATTTGGGAAAAGGTTTTCTGCTGAAACACAACCCCCAATACACAAGGAGGCATAATTAGATCAAAATTCTTCTCAGTTCTATAGATAGGCTACTGTGTTATCCTAAGGCCTAGAGAAGGATCTGTTCTCCATCACACAGATGGTGTAGAGGTCATCTGGGCTATTAGCCACCTCTGGTCCTGGTTGTAGGAGCTTGGGGGAGCCAGGTGTAGCCTGGCTATATAGATAGCCCAGGGGTCACCTTGGCTGTTAGACACCTCCATACTCAGCCTTCTGGGCAGAAGAGGTTATACATCTTGTAGTAGGAATAATAAAAACCCAGAGACAGATATTGGGATTCAAGTTGAACATCAGAGAAGCAAAGCAGCCAAACCACCAGAGAGCTCTTACCTCTACCAAGGCTGAAATGGATATTCTGTCCTTATTGTGGCTGGATACTAATTGCCAGGATACAAGACCCTGCTCCTATTTTATGTGCCTTTCTAGTGCTAGGATTAAAGGCATGAGCTCTGCTTCTTTTTTAGACTGATTCACTTTCATGAAGGCTTGGGTGGCGTTGAACTCAGAGATCCATCTGCCTCTGTCTTCTGAGTTGTGGGATTAAAGGTGTTTACCACACCTGCCTGACCTCTATGGCTGACAAGTGTGGCTGGCTTTGCATTGTGAACTTCAGTGGCTTTATTAGCTCGTAAGCAAAGTATCACTACATGTTTTTTCTTTGAATGTTTAACTCTGAGTTCCCTAGTGCTATTTGAGAGAACAAGGACATTTGTGCTCTCAAAACATGCCTGTTTGTTTTGGTTTTGGTAGTAGGGATCAAACCAGGGCCTATCACATGCCAGGAAGGTGCTCTCCCTAATTCAGTTGAGCTACATTTCTTCTTCCTTCTTCTTTTCTACCTTCCTTTTATCCTTCCTTCCTTTCCTTTTTTGAGACAGGATCTCACTATATATGTAGCCCTGGCTGGCCTGGATCTATCTCTGGGTAAACTAGGTTGATCTCAAACTCATAGAGATCCTCTGCCTCCTAAGTGCTGGGATTAAAGGCATGCACTATCATGCCCATTTCTTCCTAGTTTTTTTTTTTTTTTTTTTCTTTAAATAATTTTTTGAGATTTCTTTATTTTATGTGTATGGGTTTATTTATTTTATGTGTATGGTTTTTTTCTGACTCTAGGTCTACATTCTACATGTGGGCAGTGCCCATGGAGGCTAAAAGAGGGTATCAGATTCCCCTGGAAGTGGAGTTACAGGCAGCCATGTGGGTGCTGGGAATCAAACCCAGGTCCTCTGGAAGAGTAGTCAATCCTTTTAACTGCTGAACTATCTCTTTAGCCCCTTCTTCCTTAGTTTTGAGACAAGATCTGAATATATGCTTCAGGCTGACCTCAAATTTGTGAACCTCTTGCCTTTCTAGGCTAGAATTACAGGGCTATACCTTCATGTCCAACCCCAACAACTAAGACGTAAAGCTTTCATTCACTAAAAAAGATATTTATTATTGTTGGGGTTGAGTGTACCATGACACATATGTGATGGTTAGAGGACAACTTTGTGGCAAACATGTTTACCTATTGAGTCATCTTTCAGGTCCTTTTTTTTTTTTTTTTTTTTTTTTTTTTTTTTTGAGCATGGGTCTCATGTAACTCATGCCAGCCTTGAATTCTCTATGTAGCCAAGGATAACCTTGAACTCCTTATTCTCTTGCCTCTGCCTCCCAAATGCTGAGATTATAGGTGACCCTCACTGTGCCTAGCTCCATACACTACCTCATTCCTTACTTTTTTGACAGCATTGTCAGGTATGAACTTCACCCTGTTTCAAAGTCAACTTTTCCTGGAGACAGCCTTAGGACTGTATCACAGCCTGCCTCTACCTCTAGGCAATCTCTCTAAGCTGTGCTGTAGACAGTGATGCGCGCGCGCGCGCACACACACACACACACACACACACACACACACACACACACACACACGGCTGTCCCTGCTACCTAAGGGACAGGACAGAGGTCTCTGGCATTCTTTGCTTGTCTCTTTTAATGTGGACCTCCCTTCCTGTGAATAAGCTGGGGCTTGGACCATGAACTTCTCAGCCTGCTGGGCCTGATGTAGAACCTCTATCTCCTCTGTCAGTGGCACAAGAGAGAGAAGAAAGCCTCTGGTTAGTCTCTCGCTAACAGAAGTCCAGCCTCTGCCCTGTAGAGTTGGTGGGAAGCAGTAATGCTGAGAACCTGCTCTTCCTAGGCAGACACTTTAATTCTGACAGAGAGCTGAGGCAGCAAGAGCCTCACCTTTGGATGTATGCCCACATTGCTGGTGACTCGCAGGTTCTACTCCTTCTCCTGTTCTTACAAGATTTACTAGATTTTCTTTTGTGTTTTATTTTCTGTCTTTAGTATCACATCCAGAGATTAAGATGGTATATAGTTTTCATCTATCTATCTGTTTCTGGGGGAAGTCCACAGTCTCCTCATTTTATATACATATTCTAGAAAGGAGTCAAGTTTTGGAACTTAGAAGTTGTTTTTACTGTGAAATTGGTAATGAGGGATGGCATGATTTTTTTCATCCTAGGACCTTGGGAGAGGCTGCAGAGAAGAAGGCTGAATGGGCAGCTCTAGAGCTGCCTGTCTTATAATTCCCCTGCTAGATATGAGACCCTTAGGGATACAGGCTTATGGTTCTGACTTCATATTATTTATGTCACTTCCAAGGTAAAGGTGGCACAGTGTGCAGGTGTGTGATAGCCTGTTCTCCTTCTCTGCAGGTTCTTGTGGCCCAGACAGCCTTCATGTGGAAAGTAAAACGTGTGTGTGGCAAAGAAGTGGCTCACTTGTGCGCCACAGAATCAAGCACTGTTTAAGTGGACACATTGCTCTGTGCTTTGATCCTCTGGCATTGACTATGTCCATGCCCACCGAGGGCACCCCACCACCCCTAAGTGGTACCCCCATCCCAGTTCCAGCCTACTTCCGACATGCAGAGCCTGGTTTCTCTCTCAAAAGGCCCAGGGGCCTCAGCCGGAGCCTTCCACCTCGGCCCCCTGCCAAGGGGAGCATTCCTATCAGCCGTCTCTTCCCTCCTCGGACCCCAGGCTGGCACCAGCCCCAGCCCCGGAGGGTGTCATTCCTGGGTGAGACCTCAGAGACCCTGCAGAGTCCTGGGTATGACCCGAGCAGGCCAGAGTCCTTCTTTCAGCAGAACTTCCAGAGGCTTAGCCGCCTGGGTCATGGCTCCTATGGAGAGGTCTTCAAGGTAAATGAAGGGTGGTTTCCAGGGCTTTTCTGGGGAACCTCTTTGCCTTGGTGGGATAGTGACCTAGGTATCTTGCTGCCCTTTATTCCTGGACAGCTTGCCTCTCTAGGGCTTACAGCCACCTCCCCAACCCCACCTCCTACTCCCCACCTGCAGGTCAAGCACCTTGAAGACCTGCCTCATGAACACTAGCCCCTTACCCAGATTCTGGCACAGCCTACAGCAGTCCGCTGTTGCCACCTCTCTGCTTGGAGATGGCTGTACTGGGCTCCATGACCAGTTCTATCCAGCCTGGAGTTGACCCCAATGCCTACCTTTTCCCCTAAGCTAGCAGGCTCAAAATCTGTACCCTTTTCCATTAATTTTGTTTAATATGCTATTAATTTTCCATTTATTTATATGTCTTGTAAAACAGTAGCTTCCCTTTGCACAAGCACTTTTTGAGGGCAATTTTATTTAAAATTCAAGTAGCACAGGCCCTTGGGTCATCTTTCCTCTCCAGAGGAAAGCTTGGGCACAACAGAACATACTGCCCCTGTTATTTTGGGTCTAAATTTTTCTCTTAGCACTGACCCTGGTCAGAGGGCATAGTCTGCCCCATCTCCTCTGTTGCTGGGTCTCCAGTGCACTCTCCTGCAATGGACATGAGTCTAGTTCCTTAATGCATGCAGAGATCTTAAGACTGACATGTATTTCCCTACATGGTGAAATCTTAGTAGCATTCGCTGATTGTCTTCTATCCTGCCTCTGGGCCACACCTCCCTTCCAGGTGCGCTCCAAGGAAGATGGCCGACTCTATGCTGTTAAGCGCTCCATGTCACCATTCCGAGGCCCCAAAGATCGGACTCGAAAGCTGGCTGAGGTAGGCGGCCATGAGAAGGTGGGGCAGCATCCACACTGTGTGAGACTGGAGCAGGCCTGGGAGGAGGGCGGCATCCTATACCTGCAGACAGAGCTCTGTGGGCCCAGCCTGCAGCAACACTGTGAAGCATGGGGGGCCAGCCTGCCAGAGGCCCAGGTTTGGGGCTACTTGCGGGACACTCTTCTGGCGCTGGACCACCTACATAGTCAAGGCCTAGTTCACCTCGATGTCAAGCCTGCCAACATCTTCTTGGGGCCCCGAGGCCGCTGCAAGCTGGGTGACTTTGGACTACTGGTGGAGCTGGGTTCAACTGGCGCTGGTGAGGCCCAGGAGGGAGACCCTCGCTACATGGCCCCAGAACTGCTGCAGGGCTCCTACGGGACAGCTGCAGATGTGTTCAGGTGAGGCTGGCATGTGGAGAGGTAATGAAGGGACTGTAAGAGGCCCTTATTGGGGACTGATCAGCAGAAAGGGAGGGACTGCCCCACAGAGGAGCTCTTCCTGGTACTAGGGTAAGAGGGCATTCAGGCCTGGGAGGTGTTTCCTCTGCCCACTAGCTGAGTGGTCTCCAGAGTAAACAACAAACCCTCTAGAGGCCTCTTTACATTGTAGGTTAGCCATCTCTGTCTAGCAGCTCTCTGGCTATGCTCCAACACAGGGAGAATAGGGTGCAATGAGGTTGAGGGACTTGTCAAGCCCACAGTTAGCATCTGGGACTATACTCAGGCCCAGAATTCTGAGTCCACACTGGATACTGCTGCCCTGCCTCAACTGATTATTAGGGTTGGCATCATCATTATGTACAAATAACTTTCCCACAAAGATGCTGCATAGGACTAGGATCTGTGTCACAAAGCTGACTTTGCCTCTCTTTTGCTTCATGCCCTGTCCTAACTAGTCTGGGTCTCACCATCTTGGAAGTGGCCTGCAACATGGAACTGCCTCATGGTGGGGAGGGCTGGCAGCAGCTGCGCCAGGGATACTTGCCCCCTGAGTTCACTGCTGGTGAGTTGGGGCTCAGGAAAAGAGCCAACTACTATCAGCAAGAGGTGGCTAGTAGTAATGACACTGCTGGGCTGAGGGCCTAGTCAATACCTTGGTTCCTGACATGCATGGCTCTGCCTCCTTGGCAGGTCTGTCTGCTGAGCTGCGTTCTGTCCTCACCATGATGTTGGAACCTGATCCCCAGCTGCGAGCCACAGCTGAGGCCCTGCTGGCCCTGCCCATGCTGAGGCAGCCACGTCCCTGGAATGTTCTATGGTATATGGCTGCAGAAGCCCTAAGTCGAGGTTGGGCCCTGTGGCAGGTAAGCCTCTATGATGCTGGTCTGTGCTACCTGTTCCATGCCCAGGGGACCTAGCCAGTCTCCTGAGGCTCCCTTTTGAACTTACTATATAGACCTTGAACTCATCTTCCTACCTCAGCTTCCCAAGTACTGTGATTTTTGTTATAAGGCTTGATTTCTGAGGTTCCCTTTTCCCTTAGGCACTGATCACTCTGCTCTGCTGGCTCTGGCATGGCCTGGCTCATCCTGCCAGTTGGCTGCAGCCTCCAGGCCCACCAGCCACACCGCCTGGCTCTCCACCTTGCAGCCCCCTCCTGGACAGCAGCCTCTCCAGCAGCTGGGATGATGACAGCATAGGGTGGGTGAGAGTCTAGGACATGAGGGTGAAGTGTGTATGTACACCACTATGGTCAATGCTCCATGGAAGGCTCCATGGAGAGGAGGGTGGATGGATCTCTGTCACACCCAGGGAACAAGGACTGGCTCTGTGGATGTGGCTCATGGCCTGTGTGGGCAACTGTGACATTTAGCACAGCTTTATACCAGTCTTAGTACAGGATTGCAGCCCCCATTTCTGTAGAGGCTGCCCCTGTTCAGGGACAAAGTGCTGTCTTCCCCTAGGTGAGTATCTCCCAGAACCTGGTAAATCCCTGTCCTGGGAGGATTCTTTGTCCCAGGTGTCTGTCATTCAAGGGAGAGGGTGTAATTAAGAAACTGCTACAAGGAAGAACCACACACTCTTGGGATCCCTCCCTTTATAGTACTGTTTCCCTCACTCTGAATGTTCTTTGTAACAGAGCAAAATGCTAGAAAAGCTTCATTTAACAAAACTTGACATCTAGCTCATTTGAACCTGAAAAGGGACAGTGATGGCCTCTAAACATGGTCAGATAGGAAGACTTGACAGCTGTCAATGTGTGTGTTTATTTCAATTATTGTCTCCTACCTTTACCAAGCAGAGGTCTGGAACCAGATAGAGTCAGAGCTGGTTTGGTCCTACCCTCCTCAACCCTCAACACCTTGTTTGTGCTGTCCTCTTTCTTGTAGTCCCTCACTCTCCCCAGAGACCATCCTGTCCCGGATCACCAGGAGAACCTCTACCCCTCGAAGCAGGTACACACCAAGGTGAGGAGAGCAAGCCCAGGCCTAGGGCTGGGCACAGTGGGCTTTGGGATCCAAAATCTTATTCTTTTTTCTTATAACCCCAAGGGATGCCCTGGACCTAACTGACATGGACTCCGAGCCTCCTAGAGGTCCCTGCCCCACCTTTGAGCCACGGAACCTCCTCAGTCTGTTTGAGGACTCGTTAGACCCAGCCTGAGCCACAAGTTCAGCCTTGGTGCTTTTAAACCTCTGACCCTCTTTCCTACCTCCTCCCCAAAACTTCTGTATCTAATAAAAGGTAATGAATCTTGGGAGCACCCAAGGTTGTTCATGTGGCAACACAGTACTTCGTGTCCCTTTATTGATGTTGCCTGGGGTTTAGGCTTCTGAGATGATCTGGCTGTGAGGCTATACTCTGCTATAGAATGGCCTTTGGCCAGCAGGCTGGAGCCATACATTGTATAGATTTCCTGAGCAGACACGTTTCTGATCAATCGGTCAGACCATGGTACTGAAGGTGAGTCCTTGCTCCAGTGAGGCCTGAATCCAAAGCCACCAATCCACATCTGTGCCTGTGGCCTAGGGAAAGTAGCAGCTCCTCTCATGTCTGTTGGCCAGGTGATACAAGCAGAACCAATGCCCACTTGGTCCTGAGAAAAGGGCCTGGTCTCCCTGCCCTGCATCCTATATGCAGGAATGACAGGAACGGTAAAATTCTGGCTGCTGAGAGGTTTGGCATGCAGGGCATGGAGGTCAGGAAGCAGGGGCAGAGAAGCTAGTTCAAGAATCCAGGAGGTTTCTTGTGGGAATGGCGAGGCAGGGGCAGTGATTCTGGGCTGGAGGCTTGGTAAGTTGGCAGGACTCAACTGTCAGACACGAATTCAGAGACTCTCAGGTCAAACAGCATAAACTGAAGCCCAAAGAATGATTTCCTTCTAGCCTTCTAGTGAAACGGTACTCTGTAGGGGAGTTGGCAGGGAGAGGAGTAACTAGAATTTGAAGGCCTGGGTACAAGAAGAGGTTAATCCACAGGAAAGAATGAAGTGTGGTCTCCCAGATAGGAAGTCCCATGTCCTGGTTCTTCCAGGGAACCAGCCCCTTGCAGACCAGCAGGAGGAAAGGTGGTGTTATTTGTTCCAGGAAGCTGTGGGCAGGCTGGTTTGGCAGCTAGGAGACAGCTCAGTCTGGGGGACAGGCGTGGTGGGCAGCCCAGAGCAGATCAGGTACAACACCAGCATGTAGCTGGAGAATGGAACCCACACTGAGCAGGTGCATGATCTGGTGGGAGTTGCCCCAGTAGTCAAAGCGGCCAGGTCCCCAACGCTCTGGGAGACGTGCCACATTCACCAGCCCTCCAAGCAATGCCAATGCATCCATGCGCAGGTAGCAGGGCAGGGAGCCTGGAGCCCCTGAGCCCAGCCCTACTCCACGGGCCCCAAACACCAGCAGGCGGGCCCCAGCTTGCCAACCAAAGGCTCGAAGCCGGGCACTGGTAGAGGGAGCAGTGAGGGCTCTCCAGCCGGCCACACCTGACAGTGCAGTATAACCCATCAGGGCAGCTGGACGAAGCCAGGGTCTACAAGCCAGAGTGCAGTGAATGATGGGCAGGGCCCCTGCAGAGAGGAGAGAGAGAGAGGATATCAGTCTAAGCTAGCTGATCTTCCCTACCCAGGATTCCCACCAGTAGCCCTTGCCTCCACCTTCCTGGGGCCCTGGCTCACCAAGAGTGTTGACAAGGCAGACTCCACACATATCCAGGGCAAGGAGCCGGGTATACACAGGACTGCCTCCTTGGTGGCACATGAAGAGGTGATACAGTACAGAGGCTGCAGGGGGGACTAGGCAGGCCACACAATGTGTACCTCCCAGCCAGCCATCCTTACCCAACTGACCCCAGGGCATGGTCATTGGCACCAGCACCAGGAAGCCCAGGAGGGCTAGTCCTAGAAGGGAAGGAGAGTTACCCATTAGACACACTCATCATAAAGAAAAAGCATCTAAAAACAAAGCATCAACTGGGGTTAGGAAGATAGCTCATAGGTAAGGTGCTAAGCCTGACCATCTTAGTTTGATCCTGGATTCCACATGGTAGAAGAGAACCAACTCTCACAATTTGTCTTCTAACCTCTACATGCCTTGGCAGATATATACCCATCAACCCACACACACAGTAAGTTAATAAATAAATATAAAAAATTAAAGTGACCTGATATTAAAAACACAAGAAAGACAAAGCAAGGCAGAGTTCAATGCTACTGCCAGCCCACACAAGGTCTGTGGGCTCCAAACTTTCAGAAGTGCTCCTGTCAGGGCTTACTGCAGGTCTAGAAGTAAGACAATAAGCAGGACTTTGCAGGTGTGGAAACATGCTCTGAGTGACCTGTCCCAGCTGAGCTCAGCAACCAGGCAAAGGGCAAAGGATGACTCCTGAGCTGTCCTGGCTGAGGCTAAGGCCACAGCTCCTCTCTTCCACACAGGAGGACAGACCAGGTCTGCCTATCTGTCCTGGAGTATCCACAGAAGCCTGGAGAAGCATGACCTCAACCTGAATCTGATTAGAACAGAAGGGACACATCTGACTCAGGGTTACTTAACATTGTCAAATGTCCAGGCAGATGGAGACTTTGGGTCATTTTCTTTTTCATAAAGAAAAAAGGCCAGGAAAGGCCAGGACGAAGGGAAGAGGGCTGAAAGAAGCTTATTCTATCTCCACTGAGGGTGTTTTTCAGGAGCTCTGTTCCTTCCAGTGATGGCCTTACTTGGAGATTCTGACCCTTGCCCACAGGCAGTTGGCATTGCCCTAATAGAGGACAAATGCAGGCATCAGCCCCACTCTTGGTGGGGGGTCTGACAATAACGTTTTCCCTCTCCTTCAGAGAAAAGCATAAGTCTAAACCTAACTGGCTCTAGTCCCCTTTCCCAGCGGCTCAAGGACATGCCAGGGCTGTGTCAGCAGAGCTCTAGGGGCCGCAAGGGGAGGGGGGCATCAAGCGGATCCCCAAGGCTACTGTTATGGTGGCGGGGACACTAGGCCACCACGAGGAGGGGCTTGGGCCGGGCAGGGGAGGTCTTCTACTTTCTGACTCCTCCTAGCCAGTGAACACCCATCTCCAGGACCAGTGCTGAAAGGGAGGGTGCCCAGGGCGCAGGATTACCAAGGGGTACTAGGATCCTTACCCCTAGAGCTCAGCGGGATTAAGCTGGCTCCCACTCTGCTCCCCTCTCCTGCCTTGGGGCACTGCAGGAAAAGCAGAAGCTGGCAACGAAGCTTGGGACAATGGCAGCTTTGTCACGGCGGCGCCCGGCCCAACTAGGGCAAGAGCAGCCTAGGACTTGGGGCTCAGGGAGCTGCTACGCTCACAGACAAGGCGGCCGCGAGTGCGGGAAACATGAAGCGGGATGCCGCTCACCTACCGTGTGTATAGATGTTGCCCAGCTCGTTATGCAGGTAGAAGAGGCTGCGCAGGCAGCCTGAGCCGCTGCTGGCCGGCCGGTAGCCAGTCAATACGAACTTATTGAACTGCAGGTGCGGCGGCGAGCTAGCCCAGTCCAGCAGGCGCGGCCCGGAGAGGAACGCCATGGCCTCACGCACTGCGGCCGGCCGGCGACCCTCTGCTCCCAGGATTCCTCCTCAGTGGAGCCGCAGCGCTGGAAAGCTCATCACGATTCACCTCTGGGCTATCCTGTCGCCCTCCGTGGGGTCAGCGGGGGTCCCGGCCCTCTTTCCTTGCGCGCTGCGCACGCGCGAGCTCGACGCCCCCGCAAGGGAAAGGAAGCTGTCAACCCGGCTGCCGGAGCCCCCAGTGCCTCCAATTCCACCGTGGCAAAGCACCGCAGGAAGAGCTCCCGTTGGCCGCAACCGGCAGCCTGGCTTCTCGCCGCAGCCCAGAGGACGGGCGCGGCCGGACGCTGGAGGGGACGCCAGGCTCCACCCCAGCTCCTCGCCCCCGCCGTCTGCCCATGTTTCGCGCGCTGGATTCCTGACGTTCATGTTGCAAGGACCAATGGGCGCGGAGGACAGGGATGCTCCGCCCCGAGACCGCCCAGGTCTTCCCTTTTTAACATATGCGGTTGCAGCCTTCTTTTCATGAGGTGCCTGTTGGCTTGGGACGCGGTGTTCTGGGTTGGACTCCTCAACTGGAGTGGCCTGGCACCTGGCGTCTACCAACATTTCACACCCCAGCTTTCTTAGTGACCTCCAGGTTGCCGCACCTTTGGGTACCCCCAACTCGAGTACCCAGCCTGACTACCCAGGCCTAAGCCCACAGTCAGGCTCTGTCCAAGGTGCTGCTGGCTAAGGCCCCTTCAGATAAGTCCAACGCAACGATGGCTCGCACCCACTTTTGAACGTATACCATCATCCACTGGCCAAATATGTAAGATGTATGACGTACCTGGAGCCCTTGGCGAGGCCCAGCCCTTCCAGCCAGGCTTCTTTGCGCTTGGGTTCCACCCAGCTAACTCCCTATTATCGCCCACAAGGCACACCCTCGGCCAGGCCCAGTACAGGCAAGGAACGGGCAAAAAGGAGGCCAGGGAATAAAGGTCGACTCTTTTCTGTTCTTGCTGGTGCCAGCAAGGAACTTCTTCGGCATAAAACTACCCACAACCAGCTTCCACTTCCTCTCTCAGAAGCAAGCTCACTGTATGAAACACCCAGAACCTTACCTGCAACCCTCCTGCCTACATCCTTATTAACATAGCTCCTCCTTCACACACAAAAAAACTTGCTGAACCTCTACTAAAACAGGCCCTTTATTTTAACTCTCTGGTCAGTCTTTAGATCACTTTTGTTTACCCCTAACTTTCATTGAGGGCAGCAGTCCAGGACCACTCCCAAAAGAGGTGCAAAAACCCTGAAACCAGACACCACCCCTCACATCAAGGTCCAAGGATTAGGGTGTTGGATTCCTTTTGCCTTTTGGATTCAACCATTTGGACCCCAAAGGTCAGACCAAGTTCCCAAGTAGCACTGGATGTTTCCTATCCGATTTTCTGGTCTCCATGAGATGACTAGAGACCGAGCTGCCTTTAAAGGAGCACAAGGAAGAGGTAGGGTGCTGCATAATATCTCAGGTGTCCATCTTGCTGGCAGAAGTTGTGATGGACCCCGGACATCTGGGGTCAGAGAGCAGAGATGAGCGAACGCAAGGAGCTCTGGCTGGAGGCACTCAGGGGCCGGTAGCCCTCAGCCTGAGAGTCCCCTGGGGGACAGGGCAGGGCCACCACTCGGGGCCGGCGATACCACACAGCCCAGCTTCTCCTGGGGCCCCGGGAAGGTCCCAAGGCCAGAGACCCTTTTCCTGGAGCCAGCAGACAGCTCCTAGAGAGGGAGCAGACGTCAGCTGGATCCATACCCAGTCTTGCCTCCACCATCCTGCTCTGCCTGCGAACCCATGTGTAATTCTCCCAAGGCCTCGCCCCCTCAAGAACCCAGGACCTTCCTAGCTTTGTTCCCTCGTCCCAGCTTCCCACCAGAGCCCCCACACCCGAAACATGAGGCATCAGGCGCCCAGTGCAGGGTCTGCCCTCAGGCCCTGCCCCAGCGCCCGCACCGTCGACGCAGCAAACGCAGCAGCGACAGGAGCAGCAGCAGCAGCACGGAGATAGCCATCACGGTGGAGAAGACTCGGGCTGTGGGCACGGGGGGGGGGCGGTGATGAGAACAGGCCTCCGAGGGGCCACTCCCTGATTAGCACCCATCTTGCAAGTCAGCCTCACCCCCTATGGAAGCCTGTGCAGCTCCGGGCTTAGGGCTGCAGCTCACGTTGGCACCATCTGGGTCTCCTGCAGGAGTCTCAGCGGAATCCTTAGGAGATGCACTGTCCACCACTGTGTCCTGCAACCCTGCGGAGAAAGGAATGAGGTGGCCCTGAGTAGGGTTGTGTAAGCTGGGGGGGGGAGAGATGGGGTTGGGGATGGGGGAGTGGGCAGGAGGGCGGGCTCCCTGCTCACCGCGGTAGGTGAGTGCGAAGCCTTGAGCGTGGCCTCGAGCGTCGCTGCGGAAGGTGAGCAATAGTGCAGCAGTGCGCAGGCGCAGAGGCCCAGGCGGTGGCGGGTGGGCGCCGTCGAAGGCCTGGAGCAGGTTGCCTGACGAGGCATCGCGTAGCTCCAGCCGGTCTCGGGAATCGGCCAACTCAAAGAGGCGGAAGGTGAGCTCTAGCACAGCACCCATTTGGCCCAGAACCCAGCTGCAGTTCCGGTCTGGCCCATACTCATCCGGGAAATCCGGGGAATAGATGACACCTGGAGACGCTGTCCAGTTTCCCTGGCATGAGCCTACGGACACTGTGGGCGGGGCAGGTGGTCAAGAACCCGAGGCCATTCAGGCTTTCTTTCCAGCGCAGAGATCCCAGTGTAAAAATTCCCCTTTCCAGCTAGAACTCGTTCCCGCCTCAGTACTGGCACCTGGCATCCAACAGTTGTTTCTTTAAATAGGCCCCGCCTTCAGACCAATCCCTTATCAAGTGCGGGCTTCACAATCAGGTTCAGCCTCATGCCCATTACAGATCCTGCCTTCAATCCTAGTCTCCCTATCTTGTCTGACTCCAACATCAGGCTTCCCCGATTCCACTCCTACTAGGAATGGCACATCAGATCCCATTGAGAGTTCACTCTTCATTTTGGTCCACATCTCACCTTCATAGATGCCCAGTCTCCCATCGCCTCCACACAGCTGGCCTGGGTGGCCAAAACAGATCTGGTCACAGTCGGTGGCAGGGGCTGGACGTCCCCGGGCCAGGTCGCTTTCAGAGCCACAGAAGCAGGCATAACCAGCCTCCACGCCAGCCAGCTGGGAGCACAGACTGGGTGACCCCAAAGGCAGGGATGGCGGGTATGGGTGGAGTAGTGGGGGTGGGAAGTAGGGATTGGTGAGTTTCAGAAGTTAATGTCAAGTTTTGCCACCAGTGTTGGGAACTGGGTAGGGTTGGGAGCTGAGGTCAAGGTCAAGGGTCACTGGTCTGGGCCCAAGGACAGTACCTGGTAGCCCTTCATGCGGCAAAATCGAAGGCACACCTGGACTGTGAGCTTTGTGGAGGTGCCACTGGGACCACTGAGAGCAGGGGGTGCCCCAGAGTCCATGAAGCAGCCCAGGTACCCAGGCACTGTGGAGGAAGCAGAGTCAGAGCCCCACCTGTGAGAGTTAGTGACCCCCGGGCTGGGCTCTTGAGTTCACTCACTGTGACACGTGGGGATGTCACAATAACGCCAGTAGATGCCCTCTTCTGTCTCTGGCACATAGCACCACGGCTGCACATCCCCATCTGGGTTCCTGTGGACAGAGGGAGGTGATGAGGAGCCCACCGCCCTGCCCGAGATGGCCACCATGCTTTAGAGGCCATGCTCCTATCTGGCAGCTCACAGTCTAGGTTTCTTCACCTGCTCCTGTTCCCCAGGGAACAGAGGAAGTTGCCATAAGAGCCTGGTGTTTGACTTGACCTCATGGGAGAATGTTCTGACTTTTCAATTGGTCTTGCCTAAAACGTCAAAGGAGGGCAAGCAGTAAACCCTCAGCTTTGTGGTTGGGCAGAAAGTGGCTCCCTTTCAGTCCCTGGCTGATGTTCCAGAAGAAAGTTCCTCACGTGATGGACTGTAGATGCTGCTCAAGTAACTACAAGAGCCAGTCCAATCATTTCAGGGTTCGAGTCCAACCAGAGCTGGCATCCAAGGGCCCCTTAAGGGTGTAAGACTTTTTCCTGGCCCTGACTGGAGGCTTTGCAAAAACTATCACCTAAGTCTGACATACATTTAGTTCCAAGTTTTTGCGAACCTAGTGAACCTAGTATGAGGTAGGCCCAGCCCCTAAACCTTCCTGAGGGTACTATACCAGGCCAGAGCCGACTTCCCCTCTGCAGGGCCTGCTGCCATCACTGGTCCTGCTTTGCTGACACCTCCATCAGGCTCCTCACCTGCAGAAGTTGTGCGCGCCCAGCCCCCAGCGGCCCTGAGGGTCGCTGGCGCTGCTGTAGCTGTGCTGCTGTGTCTGGTCCCAGAAAAGACAAGGGCGTCCAGCCCCTCGCGGGCCGGTGTAGTTCTGGTGGCCGCGGTAATCAGCGCCATTCACCTGGAAGCATTCGGACAAGCCTGCCCGGCAACCATGGGATCTTGGAGAAGTCTGGATGCTCACTGGGCCTCCTCACTTCTCTACACCCAACTCCTGCCTGGTCCCAGTCAGTATTCCTCAGTTCCCATGCCCTAAGGGGCCTTCGGGCTGCTCAGCTGCTCCATCCACCTGCTCTCCCGCCTCCCCGGTTTTGGGGCCCCAGCCCTGGGCTCAGAAGACTTTGGCCTGGCCGCTGTGCCTAACTCACCTGGATTGTGCAGGCTGCCTGCTGAGGCTTCACGGGGAGGCAGCAACATCGGGAAGAGGAAGAGGAGGTACCGCAGAACAAGTGTCCCCATCTTCCCTCACCAAACAACAATTGCCTAGGCCAGAACACGGCCTGGGACGCCGCCGGGATCGCTCTAGGGTCTCTCAGGTGACCTAACGGGGGCGTTGTCCTCTGATTGTCTGTCCCGGTCTTTCTTTGGTCGATGCTGCCTGTCCGAGACCAGGAAATATCTTCCGGGGATCTCTGCCCGACGGTCGCTCCTCAGGGGTCTCTGGAGAAGGTATGTGGCCAGAGGATGAGCTCAGGCTCGGCTTTCTAGCCCTCGGTCGCGCCTGGACTCCCACACCCACCCCCTATCGAACTGCGCTGGCACCCTGAGTCTCCCTCTTCAAGGTCTCTAAAGCACTGCCTCCTGCCCCGCTTGTGTCCCTATAGGTCCCTCCCCTCTTGCACCCCCCCCGGGAAGACAAGAAACCCCGCCCGGGATTGGAGCGCAGACAGCAGGTCCAGACGCCTCCCACGCCTGTCCCTCGGGACCCCCAGCGTCCCAGCACATGCCTGCCTCCCCACCCCTTTTTCCTCTTTCTTCCAGGGTCGGTGTGAGTTCTATTGGGAGGGTATGGAGGGGGACAGGCCAGTCAGTTTAACAGACCTCTAGAGAACCCTAAAGAGCGTTACAGTACTCCCCCGTGGCTGCACCGAGTCGGACACTGAAGTGCAAGCGCTCACACTCCCATTCAATCCACTCATTCATTGTAAAACGCTCACACGCACATTTTCTCCGAGTCCCCAAGCTCCTCTCTCCCCAGGTCCCGCCGCCGCTGCTGACTTGAGTAAGGAAACGCTACTCCCTGCCCCCGATTGCGAGAGACAGGCAGGAATCGTGGACATTCAGCCCGCGACAGGCAGGGGCAGCTGGTGTCTGGGGAGGAAGGCAGCTGTGCCCCCAGTTCCAGCCCGCCCCCTCTCCCGCTTCCATTTCTTCCACTCCCTAGGACCCCAGCCCAGGCTCTCCGGAGCCTTGCCTGCGGTGGAATTCCCCCAGCGGTGCCCCCCACCTGGCAGGGGAGGGGGAGGGGAGCAGGCCCAGGCAGGCGTGGGGGGAAATTCCCCGCCCCATCCCCCTGAGCCCGACTCCTCTGAGTTCTCTGATCTCTCAGTGCTGCCCCGGGGCTTGGGGGGAGGCCAGCGCAGGTGCGTGGGAGGGCGGGGGTGGGGACCCAGGGAGAGAGACTGAGGGGGTACCCTATGCAGCCCTACCCTGTTCAAGCCTCTTGTCCATCAAACCAGCCTGCCCACCCTTGGGCTAGTATGCCTTGGGACCAGGCTGACCTGGCCCAGCTCTGACAATCCTGGGCTTCCTCCACCTAACACAGGTCCTGAAGCAGATGGAGACGCAAGATTCATAGGGAGGGTTCTAAGAGGCTGAAGCCTGCGTGACAGAGAGCAACAATTAGCTGTGGGAATCTTGCAGCTGTGCTGTTGGCGCCTCATTCCAAGGTTCTTAGGGCCATGACAAGTCACCAGAGGGTAGAGGGGGTCGGGTAGGGAGAGTATTTCAAGGAGATGGATTTGCTGAGGTTGTAGGCTGGTGAGGGGTGCCCCCTTTGGCAGCTCGCTCTGTGACCAAGCTGAGCTCTGGGCTGGGAGTCTCCCTCTTGCACTGACCCCTCCAGAGCCATCCACCTAGCAAGGAAGCCCACCTTCCCTTTCCACCTGAGGGCCAGAAGAAGCTGGAGTCTATGTAGTCTGGACCCCCCACATTTTCTGTGAGGGGTCAGTCCTGTGGAGGAAGAAGTGATTGCACAGGAATGAGTGAACAGACCTCAACACACAGGGCAGGAATCATGGCAGAGTTAGCTGAGGAATGGCTCCTCCCTAGCAGAACCATGGGTCCTAAAAACAACCCTCTACTGTTTGGGGTGGATCTGACCAGTCCTATCATCTGCAAAGGGGCAAGAGAGAGGGAGGTGGTGCTCTGTTAGCAAGCTAGATTCACTGAGATGGGAGTGAGTGGGAAGTGTCCTTGCCACAAATTCCAATCCGGGCTGTTTTGTGGACCATTTGAGAAGAGGGAAAGGCCTCATGCCCTGCACCCCTCAACACACACTTCCCTGACATTCCACACTCCGCACTGTGCAGGCAGCAGCCTGTCAGCATTCCCAAGGCCCTAGGGGAACATTTGCACCTCCCCATTCTGCAGATCTGAGAACTGGGGCTCAGAGGCCCTTGGCAACTGTGGACTCACTAGCTAGTCAGTGTTGGAGCCCAGTTTCAAGCAGAGTATGATCTAGGTGCATGGCATTGACAGTGTTGTCCCTATCCCACACCTAAGTTCTCTGACTCCTCCACAGTACTCTGTCATTATACAGGGACACTTGGTATCTCTTTCAGTGTACTTTTTAGACAGGTCTAGACTAGAGCTTGCCATAATAGACCAAGTTGGACGGAACTCATAGATTCCCCCTGCCTCTGCCTCCTGAGTGCTGGAATTAAAAGTGTGGGCCACATTCCCAGCTCTGTTCTCTTTTTCCTTGACCAGAAGTCCCATTGCCAGCCAGCTGGCCAATGGTGGTGCACACCTTTAATCCCAGCACTCAGGAGGCAGAGATAGGCACATCTGAGTTCCAGGACAACCAAGGCTACACAGAGAAACCCTGTCTCAAAAACAAAAACAAAAAACTAACACACACACACACACACACACACACACACACACACACACACTGCCTTCCCCACATCTCCAGTGAGAGCTGCTATCCCACACCAGTCTCCCCAGGATTACTTTTTCAGAGGCGGGGAAACTAAAGTATGAAGGCGTTAGTTCGGGTCATAGTGCCTAAGACCCTGACCCTGGTGGGCATAGAGTGTATCTCTTGTTCTGTTACTTCCATGAACAGATCTGCATACATAACTTGTCACTGGGGAGGGGGGCAATAGAGAAAAAAACAAAACAAAACAAAAAACAAAACAAAAGAAAACCCAGAAAACTTGGGCCTGGGGCCTGGAGAGATGCTGCTCTACCAGAGGTCCTGAGTTCAATTCCCAGCAATCACATGATGGGCTCACACCATCTGGAATGAGATCTGATGCCCTCTTCTGGCCTGAAGGCATACATGTAGGCAGAACACACACACACACACACACACACACACACACACACCAAAAACCAAACCAAACCAAAAAAAAAAAAAAAAAAAAAAAAAATCTTGGACATGAGGGTGGGTGCCCTTGCTTTTTTTTTTTTTTTTTTAAGTACGTGAAGTCAGGTTTGTTTGGTCCAGTGTGAAAAAGGTGAAATGCTGGAGATACTGGGTGGCATTATCCCGGGAAGTTTCTCAGGGTGCATTTGTACCCATTCCATTTCTTATTGGGAGTCAATCAGGGTGAGGGTAGACCCTACTGTGGACTCAGAGCAAAGGGAACCCCCCAAACTCCCAATATGGCATCCTGGTCTCTCAGAGGTGGTACTGCCTGTAAAGGCACCACTCCAAGCTTGCCTGCCTCATTCAGACTTCCCTTCACCACCTCAATCCCACCTCAGAAACTGCTTCTTGTCTTTCTCACTGCACCTTCCTTTCTCTGAATTGCACCTCCCCTGCGTCTGTCTTCACTTGGTCACAGGTCTTAAGTGAGTCCTTATGGGAATGCTGTTTGCTGTTTTGGACCTCAAAAGCCTGCTATGACCCCGTCCCAGCTTTATGGGCCTAGCCTCTCTGCATCACCACCTGGCAAACTGTGATGGGGCAGGGCACAGTATGTGCTTGTGTGGGGAGGGTGCGGATCATTCCAGAGAACCAACACTGGAGACCACACTCACCTCCATGGGCTGCTGCTGCGGCTGCAGCTGGCTTGTCTGGTCACAGCTTGTCTGGTTGCAGGACTAGGAGATGCTCAGAGGCAGAACACACTCTTGACTTTGTCCATCAACTGTGAGGTTTCCCAAATTACTTGAGCTTCCCCGGCCTCAGTTTCCCTACTGGGATGACACCAAATGGCTACAACTGGAGAAATGCAGCAATCCTGCTGCAGGTTGGCTCTCTGGGAGGAACAGAGAGTAGCTAGTTACACTCGCTAGAGGGTGCTGGAAACTCTGTTTCGTGAGAGGTCCCATGATATATTGGAAATTGCCTTTGTGAACCAGGTTGGCAGTACTGAGAAATGGAGTCAGTTTATCTGCTCCGCCCATTAAATTCTTCTGGAGGGGCCTCAGGAAGGGTGGCCACTGGGCCGGGGCTATGGGTGATGTGCTTTTTCAGTGCCCCTCCCTCACAGAAGGCCTGAGAAGGAAGGGTTTCACTTTCGAAAGACGAGTGGCTAAACACAAAGGCCCTGCTTGGTCATTTCCTTTCAGTCTAGCCTGGCGGTGCCTGGTGCTACAATAACTGACTTGAGGGGGCATCTGGGGTGTGGGGGACCTCTGGGAAGGAGACTGAGAGCCTGGAGGCCCAGCAGTGATTGGTAAGGGACCAATGACGTGGCTTCAGCGGCCACTGGTTTGGAGCAGAAAGGTGAGAACTCTACCCTGTCCAGCCTCCCCTCTGCTTCTCCAGACCCCTGACTCTCTCCTCTTTCCTCAGGAGAATTATAGCATCAACTGGGAGCTACAAATGCCCATAGGGGTCCCAGTTGCTGCTGGAATCCTGGCCCTCCTTGCTCTCCTGGCTTTGGCCTATCATTGTCTCAAAGAGGTACATTTCTCCTCTTGACTACATGCCTCTGCCCACAGCCATCTCCTCAAAACCTGTTTCCCCTCATGACTACTGTCTTTGTGCCCAGGCCTGGGAGTCCAGATGGGGACATTGCTGTGGAGGCTGGAGGTGCCCTCAAACTGGACAGAGCCTGCAGTTTGTCTTCATTCACAGGCCGGAAGAGGGCCAGCTGGGGATCCTCTCTTCGGAGCCCCAGGGTCCTCAGCTGCCTTCCCCAGTGTCCCCCTGAAGGTCGTAATGACACCAGGACTGCTCCTCAGCTTTGGGTATGAGGAGGGGCTCTCCCCGATGCTGCAGAGCAGGCTGTGGTATCAGCCAAGCACCCTGCAAGCAGTATTTGCCAAGCACCCCACAAGTATTTGACATGGATGAAGGAATGTAACTGTTGGTGGGATGAGGGGAGGGTCTTTGTCCCAAAGGAGTCTGGCATGAGGGAGGGAGACACTAGCAGAATTCACTCTCTACTCGAGCTTATGGCAGCAAAGCTATCTTTCACCAAAGCCACACCAAGGGACCAGAAGTTCTGGTTACTCCATCTTTAACAGTAGCCTGTTCCCATGAATGGGAATGCCATCACCCAAAGGAGAGTCATGGACTAGAAGCAAAGGCCTGAGGCCCTCAAGAATGGCCAAGGAATGGCACAACAGGTACAAGGAAGCTGCACCTGACCTCCCTCCCAAAAGCTGTCACTGTCCAGGGAGAGCTGTTGGGCCTATGGTCTAGCCTGGCTCCTTCCTGTGACCACAGCAAGGGCTACTGCAACCTCACCTCTTGTAGCCCAAGCTTTCCCGGCTCAGCCTCCTGAAGCACGTCTGGGGTCCTGGCTGCCGAGCACTAAGCTGGTGAGCTTTCTGGCTCAGGACACTGCTGCAGCCTACCTTCTTGCCCACTTTCCAGGATCCAGAATCACCAGAACCTGAATTTCTGAGAGCCAAGCCCCAGGACCACTTGAGCATTTTTCCAGGGCTTTCCTGGGCTGAGGAGGGTGAGTTAGTCAGGTTACTGCAGGTAGAATTTGAAAGTGTACCCAAGTTTTCTGCCCTTGGAGGTCCTCTGAAGTGTAGATATAGCCGTGAGTATATTAAACACTTCTCTGATTAGGTTGTGCTATGTGGTAGAGGGTTTGATGCAGATTCATTATAGTGTCTAGTTAATTAAATTGTCTCTGCGTTAAGAGATGGGGCCAGGAACAGTGGTACATGCCTTGGCAGGTTGAAGCAGCAGGATCACTTGAGTCCAAGACATCAAGGCCAACCTGGGTAACAAAGCAAGGCCCTCCCTGCCTTCCCTCTCAACAGGGTCTGCTATGTAGCTCATGCTGGCCTGGAACTTGCTATGTAGCCCCAGCTAGCCTAAACATTAATTTGAGATCCTCCTTGACTCCCTGAGTACTAGAACTATAGGCACATATAGTTTTGAGACCTTGGTTAAAAAAACAAAACAAAAACATGGTGATGATGATAAGCCTGGATGGCCTGATTGGTCTGTGAATTGCCTAAGGGTCTGCCCATAGTTGCCCAGGAGAGGATGAGTCTCCAGTCTGACTGAGGCTGCCACCTTGATTGCAGCTGTGTGACCCCAGGCAGAGGACACTGTTCAGCCCTCCCAGACCCCTGGTTCACCAAAAGTATGAGAAAATAGTTTTTGGCAGTTGTTCCTGGCAATTTATTCTGAAATAATATATATGCCAACAGGACAGGCTGTCGGATGTGAGGGCAGTGAGGAGAGCCTGCCTGGACTCCACTACTCTCCTTTTTGGCAGGGAACCCTGCTGACATCAGGGTTGCAATGAACCTATCAGAATCCTCCAGAATGTGAACAGAAGATTGGCCTTCCAGAGCAAAAGGCTGTAGGATGAAGCAAGTAGGAGAAGGCTTAAAGCCTGTATTATCCTAAGTGGGCCTGGGGGACATCCTTAAGTTCATCCTTAGTGTCTGGTCCTTAAGCCAGGTCATTATACCTGATACACACTGCCACAGAGAGGACTCCATGTGGAGTACTGCGGAGTCTGCATTGACAGGTAGTTGAGGAAAAAGTGGGTGTGGAAGCTGCTGCTATCACAGGGTGAGCAGCTGGGACCCCCGGTGAGTTGGAAGCAGAAGAATAGGGATATGTATTAAAATACCCATGACTTTAATCATAGAGCTCAGCAGGCACAGGCAGGTAGATACTCTTGAGTTTGAAGCTAGCCTGGTCTACAGAGTGAGTTCCAGGACAGTTACACAGAGACAGGGCTACACAGAGAAATCCTGTCTCAAAAAAAAAAAAAAAAAAAAAAAAAAAAAAAAAACACACCACTGTTGAGGGTTTGTTTGAAATCCTTTTGTCTCTACCTACCCCATGCTGAGATAACAGACTTGTGCCACTAGGCTCAGCTTTTCAGAGGGTTGCTGGGAATCTCACTCAGATCCTCAAGGTTGTGTAGCAAGCACTCTCCCCAGGCCCCAGACCATCAAAAAGATGTGTAGCAAGCACTCTCCCCAGGCCCCAGACCATCTTTTTGACTGAGGCAGATGGCAGGTGGAAACCCAGGATGGATGGTAGTCAGGGCTGGGTAATGGGCTAACATGAAAAGTGGGTGGTTAACCTGTCCAGATGGTACCCAGGACCTCAAGAAGCAAACACTGCCTTTGTTTGGGGTACCTCCTCCATTTTGGACTCACTTCAATTCATTCAACTGAGCTCATGAAGGACTCAAGATGAGGAGTGACACATAGCCCACTCTTTAAAGTCTTCCCCATGGCTAGGAAGAGATCTTCAGCAGGTCCCCTCCCAGTCTTGGTCCAGACCAAGCAAACACCATGGCCCAGGAGTTGCCAACCAAACCCATTTTCCCCAGCACCTGGCAGAAATGGCACGTGGCTTTGTGCAGCCCAGCCTACTGTTGCAGATGGGGTGTCAGGACAGCAGCACTGCATCATGAGACTAAATAGGGTTTATTGAGGGAAGCAGATGAGCAGAAGCCAGGGGTAGGCACTAGGCCATCACTATCCCACAGGGGTGGCTGCTTCATGGCTTGCTTGCTAAAGGAGAGGAGCATGCAGCTCTAGGACAGGGTTAAGGACAGCTCTGTCTAGGGTGTAGCATGCAGAAAGTTCTGCAGTTCCCAGGGATGTTACAGTGCCACTTCTAGCATGGCTCTCTAAATTCTGCTAAACTCTTCTATAGGAGGCAGACTTTGGTGCCATGTAACTCTCCTTGTGCATCAGGCGACACCATGTGGGCAATTCTCAGTGGTGCAGCTGCCACTGGACCATGCCTATCTGGTGTCACTTCTTCCTGATATCTAGGCTGGCTCCCATTGCTAGGAACTTCTGCTGCCATGAGAACTGTGGGCATAGATTTACTTTAAGTTGGGACAGAATGCAAGACTCAAAATCTGTCAGAAATAGCGAAGCCTTAAGCCTGGCCTGCTCTGTCATGGTTGGGGCTGGCTGTGTCCTCCTAAGCAGCAAGAGACAAGACCAGGAAGGCACCTGTCCCTAAAAGATGCAAAAAACAAAAACAAAAAACCCATTGTGACTTGCACTGTCTTCAGAGGGTGGCAAGAAGTTCCCGTACATATCCTGCCTGAGGACAAATTCATTTTGCTGAACTTTATGAAGCTTATGAAGGGTCATACCCCACTGGAAAGCTCTCTGCAAGGCTGCATGCTCTGGAAGCAGATGGTGCTGAGGCCTGGACAGCAGAGTGGGGTCGAGGTATATCAGTCCAGACACAATTCTCCACAGCTGTCTAAGGTCATAAAGGTGACAGCAGCATGGCACAGGTCTGCAGGCCACCCATCAGCTCTTGGCACTATTTTTTTGCCAACACAAGGTACCACCCAAAGTCAAAGCACTCCTCCTGGGAGACCTCTGAGGAAATGTGAAGGTCGTCAATGCTTTGGAAGAGTGAAGGGAGTTGTCAAGCAAATCTGAGCGGATGGGAAATGCCTGCATCTGGGATGTCAGCTGCTCCTCTGTTGCTTCAGAGAAGACTCGCCTCACTGGGACCAGCTCTTCAGTTTTTACTCTTCTTCGTTGTTCCTGACGACAGAGAAATGTGTATCATTACAAAGGTTTTATTTAGCTAGGAGGTGGCTGTACATGTCTTTAGTCCCACATTCAGGAGGCAGAAGCAGGCAGATCTCTGTGAGTTCAAGACCAGCCTGGTCTACATAGTGAGTTCTAGGACAGCCAGGGCTATAACTACAGACCCTGTCTCAAAACAAAAACAAAAACCAAACAGAAATCAAGCTGGATTTGGTGGTGCACGCCTTTAATTCCAGCACTTGGGAGTCAGAGGTAGGTAGATCTCGGAATTCAGGCCAGCCTGGTCTATAGAGTAAGTTCCAGGACAGGCAGGATTACAAAGAGAAACCCTACCCCAAAAAAACAAAACCAAACCCAAAGATTTATTTATGATCTGAGTTTTTGCTTTTTTTCTTTGTCTTAAAACAAAACAAACTTATCTCACCAATAGTGGTACATGCCTTTAGTCCCAGCACTCAGGAGGCAGAGACAGGTGGACCTCTGTGAGTTCGAGGCCACCTGGTCTACTGAGCGAGTTCCAGGACAGCCTCCAAAGCTACAGAGGAACCTTGTCTTGAAAAAACAAAAACAACAAACAAAAAAACCCTATCTCACTATATAGCTGAGTTGGGCTTGGAACTGACCATGTAGCCCAGGCAGGCCTTCAACTGATGCTCTTCCTGCCTCAGCTTCCTGAGTGCTGGGACTATAGGCAGGCTCTAGTTTCTTCCTCAGCAAAGATGACTCTGGTGCCTGAAATTCTCCTGAGAGCCAGGAGACTCATAGGTGACTATCTTAGTTACCCAACGCACTGTCACAAATCACCCCAACACAGCTTTTGGAGGTCAATATTGCAAGAGCGGCTGGGCTGGGTAGTTCTGACTCACCATGAAGTTGAGAACTGTCACCAGGACCACAGTCATCTGAAGGCTCAAGGGCAGATGACTTACTTCCAACATGATTCCTGCTCTAACCTCTTCTTGAATTACTTTTTTGTAGTTTTTACCGCTCTTGGTATATTTTTGTGGTTCTGGGCATTAAATGCAGGGTCTCACAGGTGTTCTACAACTGAGCCTCTAGTCCCCTCTCTCTAGTTTCATTAAACAAGTGATCAAAGTTGTTGACATACTAATAAATGTTGTCTGTAATAGCCTATGATTATTGATCATTTTACTTATTTTTGAGATGAGGTCTTGCTATGTAAACCAGGTTAGCCTTGAACTCACAGAAATGTACCTGCCTCTCCCTGATGCGGGATTAAAAGCATGTGCCACTACACCTGGCTTATCATTTAAAGCTTTTATTTGTGTGTAGTGTGTGTGTGCCAATGTGTACCCTCAGTCCTGAAGAGGGTGATGGATCCCTTGCAGCTGGAGTTACAGATGCTTGTGAATGGCATGAAAACGGAGTCCTCTATTAGAGCAGCCAGTGCTCTTTAACCATTGTGCCATCTCTCCAGCCCCCATCATCCTTCTATGTGGCAATATGACTTCTTTCTTCCCACTATCCTTTTTATTTTTTTTAATGTTTGTGTGTATGGGTATTCTGTCTGCACACCAAATGTTTGTCTGACAGGAGAGTGTCAACGCCTCTGGAATGAGTTACAGAGGGTTATAAACCATCATAGGGTCCTCTCCAAGAACAGCAAGTGCTCTTAACCTCTGAGCCATCTCTCCAGCCCAATAAATGCTACCCTGACCAGGAAGTGAACCCAGGCCATAACAGTGAGAACACACATTTGTAATCCTAGCACTTGTGGGACAAGAGAATCAAAATTCAAAATTGTCCTAAAATATATTGTGAGTTTGATGCTAGCTTAGGCTATCTAGACACTATCTCAAAATAACAACAAAACAAAAAGATTGGTTTTCTATTTGTTTATATGAAGGGAACTAATTTTTAATTAAAATTATTTGCAAACCTGTGTGTGTAGTACATTTATACCAACACATAACATTACTGCATCCTTCTGGGGTAGTCTATATTTTTTTATTTTTTTTTTTCAAAAAATAATGACCTAGAAAGTATTGAGCTGTGTTAGTATAAAAGAGGAAGATCAAGCCCAGCATAGTGGCACATACCTTTAGTCCCAGCACTGAGGAGGCAGAGGCAGGCAGATCTCTCTGAGTTCAAGGCCAGCCTGATCTACAAAGTGAGTTCTAGGACAGCTAGAGTTGTTTGTTATTACACCTAGAAACCCTGTCCCAAGGAGAGAAAGAAAAAAAGGGATCGATTTGGAATGAACTGGTCTAAGGACTACGAAGATGTAGGTAGTTTCACGTCAATAGGAAGGGACCAATAGAAACGAGGAAAGGGCACAAAGCTCCTGGTCACTCAATACTTACTTTTCTTCTTCCTCCTCTTCTTTTTCTTCTTGGCTACACTGGAGCGCCGCTCCCGCTCCCGCTCCCGTTCCCGCTCTTGCTCCTGCTCTCTCTCCCTCTCTAGCTCCTGCTCTCGCTCCCTTTCCTGTTCTTGCTCCCGCTCTTGCTGCTCCCGCTCTCGCTGCCGCAGGGCCTCTAGGCCATCCAGGTCAGGTGGGTGGCAATGGCTCCGCATCACCATGACCCGCCGGCCCTGGGTGATGGCACGGCTGCGACAGCCCAGACGAGCCTGGTCCCGACACATCCAGTACACCTTCTCACCGGCAGCCTTCTCCTTCCTGTACAGGAAGGACTCATACACCAGGAACCGGCCTCCAAGAGGTGTCCGCAGGAACTCCAGTGGCTGCAGAGGCTCTGTAGGGACAGGTCATACTGTAAGGGGACCACTAGAGCCCAGCTCTCGGCAACAGGGGACTGGCCTTTCTCTGTCCACTGCAATCCCAAGAGGATCCACTCTGGTCCCCTTCACTTTGCCTGGACTCTGGGGACTAATGCTCAGCCATGATCCCCAGACTCTAATATACATACTTGTTTTCCTTCACAGAGGCTCCAATGCCACCTGGACTGTCCCTGGAGCTCTGCTGGAGGCCTCACAAGACCACAAACTCCATGCTTACTGCGGTCGACCAGATAGAAGTGGTGCCCTACTGGAAGGCTAGCGATCATCTGGTCTGTACAGTGGGGGGCCTCTTATTTCCCCGCCCACCAGCTGGCCACAAAGCCATTTTCAGACTTCGCTAGAGCAGAACAGGCCCAGGGAGAAGACAGGGGAAAGAGGCCCTGGGATGGAGGGTCTTTATTCTGCTCAGTCATGAGTCACTGGCGACTGCCAGCCATGCCACCCCTAGCCCACCCTTACTTTTTCTTTGGGCCAGAGTTAGTGTCTCTCAGCAGTAGCAATTAATCACATGGTAAAATTAGTGCCTCAGGCACAGAGCCTGGAAAGGGACTGGAATGTTGCAGGAAGATGAGAAGCCACTCTCCCTCCACATACCTGGGCCTTCCCAGTTGGTTACGTTAGGGAAGTTCTCTCGCTGCCGCAGGGCTTCCAGGCCACCCATGTCAGGTGGGTGGCAGTGCCGGCGCATGACCATCACCCGCTGGCCCTGTGTAATGGCACGGCTACGACAGCCCATACGTGCTTGGTCTCTGCAAGTCCAGTACACTTTATCGCCAGTTGCTTTTTCCCTCCTATAGAGGAAGGACTCATACACCAGGAAGCTTCCCCCAAGAGGGGTCTTCAGGAACTCTGGCCCTTCTGTAAAGAAACCAGGGAAGCGATCAGGGAAGGGGGCATGGAAGCTGAACCTGACATTAGGAGGGGAGGATTGGGGAATGTTCCTATTTTCATAGCCGAGAACACCATACATGTTGGAGAGACCCTACTGCCCACTTCACGCCTTCCCTGCTGCTCACAGTGAGACAGCCCTGTGTCCTCAAACCCTACTGTGCCCTCGGGACAGGGTCTACCTGTCCCAAGGCTGGAGACTGGCCAGGCCAAGCCTTGCAGGTGAAGGCTTCCATCATGATAGTGTAGGAAGGGGGGTTAGGGTGTTTGTTTGCTCACTTACACTAGGTGCCCTCCAGGCCAGCAGGCAGGTACTCCTAGTCTGAACAGTATGTGTGTTTGCTGGGCTTAAGCGTGAGCTGTGGAGGTAAGAGGAACCTGAGAGACAGCCTGGCCCGGCCCCATTCCTTGATATCCTTTTGACCGGGCAGGAGGGCTGCTGTGGTGGTTTCAACAGGAATGGCCTCCATAGCCTCACAGATTTGAATGCTTTGTCACCAGGGAGTGGCGCTGTTAGAAAGGACTGGGGGATGTGGCCTTGTTGGGTGAACTTTTTTTGAGGTTTCAGAAGCCCAAGCCAGGCCTCGTGGCTCTCTCTCTCTTCCTGCTTGCTGCCTGCAGATGTAGATGGAGAACTCTCAACTACTTCTCCAGCACCGTCTGCCTGTGTGTTACCATGTTCTCCACCATGATGATAATGACCTAAACCTCTAAAACTGTAAGCAAATCCCAATTAAACATGTTCTTTTATAAGAGTTGCCAGGGTTATGGTGTGTCTTCACAGCAATACAACACTGACTAAGACAGAAGTTGGTACCAGTGAGGCAGGCCTGATCATGCTGTTTGTTGGCAAAATGTGGACTTTGGATTAAGAAAGCAGGAACACTTTAAGCAGGGCTTAATGGGCCACACTAGTAGGAGCACTGAAGACACTGACAGACTAGGGAGTCATCAGATGACGAAAGAAGCTGGGGAGTGCGTATCCCTGAAAGGCTGAGGGTTTGGGTAGAAGCACCTGACTCCAGAGTGACCAGAAAGGTGCTGAAGAAGACCAGAAGGTTAGGAACCTGCAGAGCAAAGTAGCCCAGAGGACAAGAGGGAGGAGAGCAAGCCTGTGGTTGTGGGAATGGTCCACCTCCTCCACATGGAAGTAAAATGTTTGTGAGGGTAGGGCTGGAGAGAGAGATGGAAGTTAAACTGTAAAGAGGCACAGGTTGCTCTTCCAGAGGACCCAAATTCAATTCCCAGCAGCCACACACCATCTTACAACCATCTATAATTCCATTTCCAGGGAATCTGATGCCCTCTTCTGGCATCCACAGGTACCAGGCACAGCCTCTATAGACATCAGGCACACACATGGTACATAAACATATAAAGAGGCAAAACAGCCACATATGTGAATATTAAAAAAAAAAAAAAGGGGCTTTCAGGAAATAAAAATGGTAGAGAACAGAGAAACAGTAAGCCAAAGACACCAACAGAATGAATAGCAGAGGGGCTGTAAAATGTTAAGGATGCAGCAAGATAAGACCTGAGCCAAGGGGCTGGAAAGATGGCTCAGCCATTAAGAGCATTGGCTGCTCTTTCAGAGGACCCAAGTTCAGTTTCCAACACCCACACAGTAGCTCACAGCCATCTGTAACTCCAGTTCCTGGGGATTCAGTGCTGCCTTTGGCTTCCAATAAGCATAAACACACATGAAGGAAAAACACTCATTTACTCAGCCAAGCCTTGTATCAAGATCTACACCAAACAAGTAGACAATGGCTGAGCTAGAGAGGCACTGGGCATCAAGGTGGGTTTATATATAAGGAACAAAGCAGGGGGTCCAGTGGAAGAGACAAGACACTGAGAGGGAGGAGGAAGAAGTCTGTGTTGGACCCAGAACTCCAGCTCTGCAAAGGCAAAGGCAGGTCCCGTGCACAGATAGGATAGGGCCTTCCTTTAACATGAGCAGGCCTGGAAGGCCAATACACATTGGGAAAGCTGCATACTGGAAGGCAGACACCAGAGCAGGCAGGTGAAGACTGTGCCTGGAGAAAACAGCTATTGCCTCAGCAGAACACAGGCAGAGGCCATCATTCTACCAAGACTAGGCACAATATAAAAAAGCCATTTTTGTATGAGGGCAGAAACTTAAAGCTTTAGTAGAAAAAAACAGAAAACAAAACCTAGAAAAATCTCAGATGGTACTACAAAAGTGACCAGGGTCATCACAGGAGGATCAATGACTGTGTAACTCTAGTCACAGAAAGCCACAGAACAGGAGCATGTGAGAAGACACTGTGTCGCACCAGGCATGGTGGCTTGTACCTGTAATCCCAGCACTCAGGCAGAGGCAAGAGGATCTCCTCAAGTTCAAATCTAGCCTGGTCTACATAACAAGCCAGGAGTACACAGAGAGACCCTGTCTCAAAACAAAATGGAACAGAACAAAAACGAATAAGGAAGACACTGTTGATGAACACAAGCTACAGTGTGAAAAGGAACTTAGAGAACCACAGCCTTAGCACAACAGGGAAGTAGAGGATTCCCAAGTCCTACAACAGAATCTGGCCACACCTCTAGTGTCAGCCATAAGAAAAAGACTATGCTATTTTCAAATAGATTCAGCTACTGTGGAATGACCCTTTACAGCCTGGCACTCTTGGACAGTCACACTATCCAGCAAGTGTACGAGGAAACTACCAACAGCTCCTGATGGGCAGGTCTTCAAGATGACTGGCTCAAGGACCTCTCAAACCAAGACAAGAAAGCCCAGAGGCAAAGGATTCCTGACCAAAGGAATCTAGGTGATGATAAGGTTTAGCATCAGCCCCCAGGCAAGGCTGAAGCAGGGCTGAGCAAGCTTTGGAATCATTTGTTGATGCGATACAAAGACAATGGTGGCACATGCCTTTAATCCCAGCACTCAGGAGGCAGAGGCAGACGGATCTCTGTGAGTTTGAGACCAGCCTGGTCTACAGAGCTAGTTTCAGGACAGGCTTCAAAGCTACAGAGAAACTCTGTCTTGAAAAATCCAAAACAAAGCAAAACAACAAAACAAAGACAGTGGAGAAGGATGGAGGCAGTGATGGGTCTCTGGAAAAAGAGGCACAGACAGCAGCTTTTGGACAGCCACACAGGGAAGGAAAGAAAAGTGCAGGAATAGTCCCAGCTTAGCAGGGGCAGAATTTGATAAGAACAGAAGGCAGAGGCTAGTGAGACAGTTCAGAAAACAAAAGCACTTCCAAGACTGTCAATATGAGTTCAATCCCCAGGGCCTACGTGACAGAAGGAAAAAACTAACTCCTATTTATTGTCCTTGGACTGATACATGTATGCCAAAGTATGCATGTACTTATTTATGGCATGCATGTGTACACGCGCATGTTCATACTCACAGAGGCAGATACTCTGAGTTTGAGGCCATTCAAAGTTACATAGTTGAGACTTAAGTCCTGTTTCAAAAACACTAACCCATAATAAAACAAACAAGCATAAAACCTACTCAAAAAGTATACCAAAGCTAAGTCAGTTCCTCTGGTTGGACATCAGCAGGTAACAAGGAGATTTAAAAATGGATTAAATGGATTAATAAAATAGTGGTAGAATGCATTTTAAGAAACTGGGAAGTAAATGCTTAGAGTAGGGATGTATGGGGCTGGGAGTGATGTCTTGTCCTGGCATCATCTCCCTGTTTGTAAGAGTTGTCACAGAAACAGAACAAAAACTGAGTAAAGATGATAAAACACCTCCTGTATCTGGAATAAGTTTAGGACCAAAAGGTAACTCAGAGGATTCCAAAAACTACAGGAACGGGAGACTGGTGAGTGTGGGAGAATGGTGAGAAGGCTGGCTACAACCACTTTCCCTAGGCAGACATCAGGCTCTTCTGGAGCCAAATGGGCACAGCTAGGACTCTTGGCATGCAAGTATGCTACAGATAAAGCTGGAGAGAGGTTTGGCTCTTCCAGCTCCCAGACTCTGAGGCTGACTTGCTGCCCTGTTTTCACTGTTGGAATGAGAATCTGACTGTATACACTCAGCAGCCTCTATCAATAACAGAGGAGAGAGTGAGTTTATCAGGTTTTGAGCCTAGAAGAAATAAGTAGGCAGGTAAAGAGGAACCTAGGAGAGAAAATCCCAGACAGACTGAGTATGGGGGCAGAAGTGGGGGAGGCATAGAAGGGACGCTTGAGACTTCCAGATTATTTCCAGGAGGGAGGGCAGGACACATATAACCAATAGAAAAGAAAAAAAAAAAAAGCTGTGGGGTCACCAAAGGTACCTGGGCCATCCCACTGAGAGGGGCCAGGGCGCTTCTCCCGCTGCCTCAGAGTCTCCAATCCTAACAGGTCCGGTGGATGACAGTGGCCTCGCATCACAGTCACCTGCCGGCCCTGAGTGATGGCTCTGCTGCGGCAGCCCATTCGTGCCTGATCCCGGCAAGTCCAGTACACCTTCTCACCAGCTGCTTTCTCCCTCCTGTAGAGGAAGGACTCATACACCAGGAAATTGCCCCCTAGCGGGGTCCTCAGGAATTCTGGGCCTCCTGCAGAGCATGGGAAAGGCCGTTAGGGGTGCAGAATAAGAATGCAGGGGTAGGTTGAGAAAGCTGGCCACCCCCTCCCAAAATGAGGCAGCCAACTCTGGCCAGGACGCTCCAAATAATAAGACTTACTGGGGTCCACATCCTGGTCCTCCTGCTCGGGGGGTTCCTGAAAGGATTCCTGATTCTTCCTTGCTCGTTTTCTGGACTTGGACTTGGACTTGGACTTTGACTTGGACTTGGACTTAGACCTGGACTTGGACCTGGACCTGGACCTACTGAGAGTCAGTGTGCCCTGCCCCCTGCGGTAGAACAGGCTGTCCACCCCTTGGAGCAGTGTGTCCTCGATGTCATCGCAATCCTCCAAGTCCCCAGCACCAATTCGCCGTGCCTGTATCTTCTTTATGGTCTTTTCCTGCTGTCGCCGGGCCTGCAGACCTTCCATGTCAGGTGAGTGGCAGTGGCTGCGCATCACTGTCACTCGCTGGCCTTGGGTGATGGCACGGCTACGGCAACCATGGACTGCATGCTCCCGGCAGGTCCAGTACACCTTGCTCCCCACAGTCTTCTCCCGCTTGTAGAGGAAGGACTGATGTACCAGGAAAGTGCCCCCATAGCATGTCTTCAGGAACTCAAGGGGCCGATACCGTACTGAGGGAAGAACCCAAGAAGGTCACACACCAAGGACAAGAGTCCAGGGGTCCCAGGAGGAACTGCCAAATACTTTTCTCCCAAATGATGACATACTTCCCTGAGCTGGACATGTGTGAATCCCAATGCATTCCCACCAAGCCACCCAAGAGAAACAAGGGTTCCTTTCCAAGTCAATTAGAGCTCAGCTCACTAGTTCACACCGCAATGGGAGGGGTCAAGCTGGGTTCTGATTCATAGGTTATGTTCTGGGCCACTCTTGGCCATATTTTTCTAGGGTTTGCTCAAAATTTTTCTCTAACTTTTGTTTTTATAGTGTATAGAATTAAGCCTAAGGGCTCAAACATGCTATGCAGGCAAGTGCTCTACCACCGAGTGACACCCTTAGCCCCTCTTTTTTAGTAATATAGACACACACTCAAATATTCTTAACATACATGATAAGATGCTCCCTCCCACCAGAACACAGTTCAGCCACTCAGATCCTCACAGCCCCTGGTGGGTCAGGAAACATCCAGCCTCCCAGAAGCCACACCCACCTACTCTAAGAATGCACACCACCTTTCAGCTAGCTAAGCAGTACAGAATATGAGGTGATCAGCATCCAGCTCCCCCTGGCCCCCAACCCCCCTGCCACAAGTTCCACAACCTGCTTCAGGAATAAGCTCCTGTGACCCCAGACCTCAGGTGAATTTTCTGAGACTAAGGCCTTAATCCATGGGGCTAGAATTTAAACCTGTGACTCAAAAGCCACGCCTTGCCCCTGGGAACCCTGCCCAAAGTTAGCCTCAATCACTGAAACCTGCCCATCAGCATGCAGATTTTTCTAGAACCCATACAAGCCCTGCTTCGTGGGAAATTCTGAAAGGCCCTGAGACCAGCATATCACAATGCTGTCTGTCCCGTGGGCTTAATGATGACTGGGGTGCATTTATAGTTTTGACTTTGAGCATATTTTAAAAACCCTCATAAAACCCCCCCCCTTTTTTTTTTTTTTTAAATTTGGGCATGAAGGATCTGAGGGTTCTTTTCTGCTGCAAGAAAGGAGAGGACATGTACTCACCCACTCCTGGTGTGGGGCGTTTCTTGGGAGGCAAGCTCTCCAGCGCCAGGGATCGGTACCCCTGGTCCTCTTCTGGGGCTTCAATGCTTTGCTGAGGGGTGGGCTCTGGCTCCACAGGGTACAGCCATAGGCTCACCCCATCTTCTTGTCCTTCAGAGCCTTCAGGCAGGTCTGAGCTAGGTGGCTTCTCCTTCTGACGCCGAACCTGTAGGCCCGCCTCATCAGGTGGGTGACAATGGTCCCGCATCACTGTGACTCTGAAGCCACGGGTGATGGCCCGTCCCCGGCAGCTTAGCTCTGAGTGCTGTCGGCACTTCCAGTACACCTTGTCCCCCACAGCCTTCTCTTGCTTGTACAGGAATGATTTGTGCACCAGAAGGCGGCCCCCATATTGGGTCTTCAGGAACTCCAGGGGCTGAGGGGTAGCTGGAGGTATAAAAAAGTCTGGGTTAGCTTCTTCAGGGCAAGGGTCAAGGTCAGGGGCCTCGGTGAGTGGGTCTTGGGAGTGGTAGGGTCCTGTAGGCAGGATGATGCTTTCTCAGGCTCCTAACTGCCAGGCAAGATCAGGTTTTTTGAAGCTGCTTTTGTGGTTAAGGGAGATTTAAGGAGTTTAGAGAAGTCTGCATATAAATGCAGTTCCCATAAGCTTGGGGAGTGGGCCTGGTGCCTGGGACACAGGGTGTGTTTACAGACTAAATGGCGCAATTGGAAGAAGAATGGGACATCCAAGGTCTCCCTGATGGAAAATGAGGATGTGCAGGTCAACAGATTTGGCAGAGACAGGACCAGCAGGGTCGGGAAATCTCACCTGCATCTACCCTGCTACGTTTCCGGTGAATTATCCGCCCCTGCTTCTTGGCAGGCAAAGTCTGGGAGGTGTTGCTGGATAGGGTGGCAGGACCTGGCATCTCCAGGGACACGACACCAGTTGGTTTGGATCCCCCTTTATCCCCGGCCAGGACCAAATTGGAGGGCTCTTGGGGCTTCCTGGCTCCAAGAGATGGCTCTTGGCCAGCTTTCACACGCTCACTCTCCTGCTCATTGGGCTCAGGTAGGGGCATCCTGGGTCTGAGAATCTGGCCCTCAGGCCACCTTCAGCCTTCTGGTAAATGGATCTCTTTCCCTTCTTCCTCTTCCTCCCGAGCAGAACTGTGTGAGCCCAGAGGCTCCGTCCTAAGAGAGGAACCAAGGCAGTTAGTGGAAGAGGCTCCTGGGGCTGGGGCTCTAACAAGTGGATCTTCAGTGGAGCCTGGGGGGAGATGGAACTTCCTCAGTGCCCTGGGGCTGAGAGGCTGCAGAGGGACCTGATATGTAGGAGCCCAGGACAGATGAATTACCAGTACCTTTGCTGGCAGTCCCACCAAGTCTCTTCAGGTGACTGGTGACTAATGTACTAACTATTGAATTTCTACCTTAGAAGCCGCATCATTGTCTAGCATAGATCCCTTCCAGACCATTCTTAATGGCCCATCTAAAAGGTAAAAAGACAGAGAGGCACAGGAACTAGACATACCTGAGAATGAAGAGGACAAAATTCCACTGAGCCTGTTCAGATGCCTGGGTGCCTACCTGGGCTTGGCCCTGTGCAGTTCACCTCAATGCTGGGTGCCTATCTCAAAGAACCCAGGCCAGTAAGTGCTAGTACCCCACATGGCAGAAGGCTGATGCCTAGCTCCAGGAAATGGGACTCTGGGTTCACACAGGTTATCCTCTGACCTTCTCTGGAGGCTTCAACTCAGCACAGTCCTCCATATACCAGAGGCTCTTTGCATTGACCTTGGAACTTCTGTTCCTGGTGTTACCTTGGCTAGGCAGTCAGGGTTTCAGGCTTCCAGTCTGGACAAGGATGGTTAGATATAGGGTGCTACCCCAGGGTGGGCTTCCTGTCTTTCTGGGACAACTGAGTAATATGTACCAAGCAATGAGTTTCCCACCTTCCAATAACAGCCATTAAATAAGACTGTAACACTCCAGACATTTTTAGCTTTTTTAATTTTTTTTTTTTTTTAAGCTAAGCGTAAGCTGGGCATTGGTGGCACATGCCTTTAATTCCAGCACTCGGGAGGCAGAGGCAGGTGGATCTCTGTGAGTTCAAGGCCAGCCTGGTCTATATAGAGCTAGTTCTAGGACAGGCTCCAAAGCAATACAGAGAAACCCTGTCTTGAAAAAAAGAAAAGCTGAGCATAGTGGCACATGCCTTTAGTCCCAACACTCAGGGGATAGGGGCATATGAATCTCTGAGTTCTAGACCAGTCTGGTCTACATAGTAAGTCCCAGGCTAGCCAAGACTACATAGTAATAACTTGAGTCAAAACCATACACACACTTTTTTTGTTTTTCAAGTTTTTTGTTTGTTTTTCAAGACAGGGTTTCTCTGTGTAGCCTTGACTGTCTTTGAACTCACTCTGTAGACCAGGGTAGCCTCTAATTCACTGAGATCTGCCTGACTCTGCCTCCCCAGTGCTGGGATTAAAGGCATGCACCACCATGCCCAGCTGCTGCTTCTTTTTTAATACCCTCAGTGAAAGAAACCAGTAAGAAAGATCAGCATCTCAGGATCTGTTTATATGGAGTATTTAGAGAGAGGCAGCATACAGACACTGAAAACGACCAAGAAGTGATTGCCAATGGGTGCAGATTTTCATCTGCACTCATGAAAGTGTCCCAGAATTGGCGATGGTGATGACTGTACACTCTGTTTAAAAACACCAATGGAGGGTGCTGAAGAGATGCCTCAGCAGTTAGAGCACTGACTGCTCCTCTAAAGGACTCAGATTTAATTCCCAGCACCCACATGGTGGCTCATAACTATAACTCCAATTCTAGGGGGGTCTGACACCCTCACACAGATGTACAAGCAGGCAAAAAAAAAAATAAATAAATAAAATAAAACATAAAAAAACAAAAGACCAAAAAATAAAAACCTATTAAAACAAATAACAATGAATGTAGTTCAGTTGCTAAAATGGCTTGCCTGGTGGGGCTGGAGAGATGGCTTAGGCATTAAGAGCACTGGCAGTTCTTCCAGAGGTCCAGAGTTCAATTCCCAGCAACCACATGGCAGCTCACAACCATCTGTAATGATGGTGCCCTCTTCTGGACTGTAGGCATACATGCACACAGAACATAGTATACATAATAAATAAATAAATCATTAAATAAAAAAATCCTTTAAAAAAAATGCTTGTCTGGTGAATATAAGGCTATCCCAGAAGCAAATAAAACCAGGTATGAGGACAGTTCACTCAGGAGACTGAGGCAGAATTTCAGGCCAGTCTGTCTGGGCTACATAATCAGGTCTTGTCTCAACAAACAAAAACCAAAGCAAGCCTGATCCCTGGAGGCCACATAAAAGCAGAACTGGTTCCACAGTTGTCTTCTGACCTCCATCCAAGTGTCACAGCATGAGGCCCACATCATACAAACACAATAAAACACACACACACAAATAAATAAAGTCAGATAAAAAGTGTAAGATGCTGACATTCATGTTGATGGGGGTACAGGCGTTCTTTATACAATCCTGATTTTTTTTTAAATCTTTGTGTCTTTGTATGTAAGTACATGAGGGTACACATGTGCTTGAGTATAAGTGTGGGCAAGAGCATCACGCATGTGGAGGTCAAATAACAACCTTGGGTGTCAGTCTTTGCCTTTACCTCATTTGAGGAAGGGTTTCTTATTCCTATTAGAAGGCAATGCCAGGCTAACGAGAGTGCTGAATGTCTCCTGCCTCCCATCTTATCACAGAAGCTAGGACTGCAGATGAGTGATACCATACCTGGTCTTACATGAACAATGGGATCCAAACCAGTCCTCACAGCTCACAGCCAACTGGCTGAGCCATGTCCCCAGCTCTATTTTCAGTTAAAAACAACAACAACAACAAAAAACAAAGCCAGGTGGTGATGGTGCACACCTTGAACCCCAGCACTCTGGAGGCAAAGGCAAGCAGATCTCTCTGGGTTTGAGGTTCACAGAGTTCCAGGACAGCCAGTGCTACCCAAAGAACCCTGTCTTGAAAACCCCCAAAACAAAAACAAAACCCTAAAATACATTTTATTTATTGTCTATGTGAACGTGTACATGCACTTGATGACATGCAGCAGTCAGTTCTCTGTGACCAAGATGGACTCCGGTCACCTAGCCAGGCCTTCAGCATGGTAGCAAGTGCCTTTATCTGCTGAGTCATCTATCCAGCCCATCAGGATTTTTTTTTCCCCCCTTGCTGAGACCAGGCCTCACTATGTAGATCAGGCTGTCCTGGAACTCAAGGAAATTCACCTACCTCTGCCCAGGCTAGCATCAAACCCATTATGCAGCTGTGGCTGGTCTTGAATGCCTGATCTTCCTTTCTCTACCTCCAAGGGCTAAGACTGGATGTGTGCCACCATGCCCTGCCTTGTTTTATTTGCTTTGCCCATCGACTTGAGCTTTAATGTGTTTATTTTGCAATATCTACTTCTCACTCAATATAAGCCTATAATGAAAACACAGTGTGTTCAGGTAAGACAGATGTGAACAGCACATTCAAGAGTCTCAAGTTTGTGGTATACTCTCCATACCCTCTCCTCCCTCAGTGCTGAGGTTGGGGCTGGGTGATTACAGCTCTCCCACTGTGGCTTTGCTAGTGGTCACACAGTGCTCAGAGCAGGCCAAGAAGCCCTGCAATGTTAAGAATTATCCAGTACCTCTCAGATACAACTGAGTCCAATCTCTAACTACTAACTAAAATCCTGAAAGCCAGAAGCCTTTCTAGGCAGCTAACAGCAGAGCAATAGCTACCTTTACATGAGAGATAAACTATATATTACCATGCCCTTGCATGGTTTTATCAGAACTCCCCTGGTCGCTCACCTGCAAAGTAGGAAAAGCAGTAAATGATGGTCAGGGGAGATGGCTCAATGTAAGAGTTTTTGCTGTAAAAGTATGAGATACTGAATTCAACTCCCCAGCATGTTGTAATTTAAAAAGTATCATGAGAGAGAAAGATGCCATTCAAGAAAGCTCACATGGAAGGGTTTTTTATTAGGGCAAAGAGAATGGGAAAAGGGTGGGAGAGGAGAGACAGGCTTTTGAGGATAAGAGCAACAGAAGAGAAAAGAGAGCTGGGTGTTGGTGGCGGACACCTTTAGTCCCAGCGCTCGAGAGGCAGAGGCAGGCAGATCTCCAGCCTACAAGAACTAGTTCCAGGACAGTTCCAAAACCACAGAGAAACTCTGTCTCAAAAAAAACAAAAACAAACAAAAAAAAAAAAAAAAAAAAAAAAAAAAAAAAAAGGAAAAGAGAAAAGAGAGGCAGATAGAGGGTTGGGGGGAGAGACAGGCAGAGAATCAGAGAGAGAGAGAGAGAGAGAGAGAGAGAGAGAGAGAGAGAGAGAGAGAGAGAGAGAGAGAAGGAGGTGGGCAGAGCTCTCTAAAGGGGAATGTAATGAATGTGCACAGGTGGTGCTCTTAGTGCCTGCAGCTGAGAACATATCCTGTCAGAATACTAGCACAGCATCTTTGTAAAAGAGGGTCATTGACTGTAATCCCAGCATTGGGATCTTAGGAGCTTGCTGCTACCCAGCCTCACTGAAATAGTAAGCTTTGGGTTCAGTGTGAAGTTCTGTCTTAAAACATAACGTAGAGAGCCATTCCTGGCTTCCTCCTCTACCCCCCCCCCACCAAGTATCAAATGAGATATTGTTAAGTGAAATTATGTGGGCAAGCATCACTCCTGAGACAAGATGAAGGTGGTAACAATCCCCAGAAAGACTGCCACTAACTACTATAAGTGGAGTTTCACGAACTCAACATCAGTGGCATTCTAGACCTGATCCTGCTTCACTGTGAGGGGTCGGGCAGGGTAGGGTGTTTATCGTCTCTATGCACTACATAAAATCCAGTATCACCTCTTTTGTCAAGTAACTGTGGAAACAATACTGCAGGCTGCCTTGGGTGGAAAGGTGACGACAGTCTGAGAGCCCTGTTTCAAAGCAATTAGAAATACAGACACTGCAGCAGAACGTGGTGGTGCATGTCTTTAATCCCAGCACTCAGGAGGGAGGGGCAGGGGGATCTCTGCTAGTCCAAGGCCAGCCTGGGCTACATATTCTAGGTGTCAGACTGACATAGAAGGACTCTGTCTCCGAAGAATTTTTTTTTCCCTAGAAATCAAAGAATCAATGTGGCACTTTTGGGACGTCATGAAACCTTTAGGGAAAGCCCTTAGATCGATGAAGTATGCCCTTGAGGGACCTATGGGAACCCCAGCCTTCTCACTCTTGCTTCCTAACTAGGATAGGAGCAGCTTGCTCCATTATTTGCTCTGAGCCATCATCACATAGCCCATCCATTGCAAGGAAATTCAACTGCCAGTTCTTGGACTAGAATCTCCAAAGCCAAAGAAAATGAGTATGTTCTCATTCTGTTCAATCGACGTCATCATCCCCCACCCAGGAGGAGTACACCAACACTGAAGTATTTTGTCACAGATAAGGAAAGCTGGGGATGGGGGAGGGGTGAGGATGGCTCAGCAGACAACAGCACTTGCTGCATAAGCATGAGGACATTAGCTCAGATACCAGCATTCATGTGATAGTAGGCTATAACCCCAGTGCTGTAGAAGGCAGAGACATGGCTTCCAGGATAGCTCCAGCTTTAGTGAGACTGTGTCTTAAAGGAATAAGGCAGAGTGACGGAATAGGCCTCTGCATGCATACACACAAGCACACTCAAACACACACACACACACACACACACACACACACACACGAATGAACGAATGATAAGGAAACATGGCAAGCCCAATGATACATTCCCCAATCACTCTAGATCAGGATCTTGGTTAGATGTACTCCTTTACCTAGCCTGATATACCCTCAAATGCCACTCTCTGGGTATATAATCACACCCTCTCCCATCTGTTTTCCTGTCACCAAGGCCTTCCATCCTCACTGCCTCCTCTTCACCCCAGTAAATCTGGGCAGTACTCTGATGGTCTTCAGCTTTGGCCACTCCAATTCTCCCCAAGAGTGCAGACAAATTACTCTTCTTAAAAACCAAGTGTACACAAAAACACCTCCAATAAAAGCCATCTCAGTCATAGACAAGCAGAATCCATAAGAAGCTCCCTTGGCCACAACTTCAGTTTTTCCCCACAAGTCAGACTACTGTCTCTTGGAAGAACAATGAGGAAAACATACCTGAATCATACCAGAAAACCTAAATCAAGCCCCAGCAATGGTATGGACCCTGGAAAGCAGAAAAGCTAAAAGACAAACAAAACAAAACCACCACCACAACAACAAAAAGATCTTTCTTTGCAATGGTTATCTGGCTATGGGAGTAAGGAGTAAAGGAGGGTTTAAAGCTGTCAAATAAACTAGGTCTTTAATCAGTGCGTTAGCAAGTCAGTCATTTAGAATAGAATGGAATGGGACGGAAGAGAAAGGAATGAATTAGAATAGATGTGAACCGGGTAAGCGGCTCTCTTTAAACGTGTGATTCACGAATCTATCGTCAGGCACAGAATGTACAAATAAAACATGTTTCTCAGTCTAGAATGAATCACAAAGTTTGAAAGCCATAACGGGCAATCTATAGTCACAACTAGGAGGGATAACAACCGGCAAAAAGTGCAAGGTCACTGGGACCTGCGGCCGCAAGGATGGGCCGCGACAGAGGACAGAGCCAGGCAGACACGCACTGGGCAGGGTGGACACGGTCCGAGGAAGATGGGCGAATGTGTGATCCCGGACCTAGGGATGTTATAGGGGTGAGGTGGGTTGGTACAGAGGGCAGGGAGAAAGGACACGCACCACGGAAAACCGACAAGAAGGCGACCCGAGTCCGAGCTGCGGAGCTGGGGCTCCTCCCCATCACCGGGCCCGACCCCGGGGCAGCCGGACCAGGCATCGCCCCGCGGGCCGGACCTTCCCGCCCGTAGGGGCCCGTCCTCACCGGCGGCTTTGCCACGCGGTCCTTCGTGTGGGTCTCCGCCAACGGAGGCGTCGGCCTAGCAGCCGGGGCCGCTCTACGATCCAGGACCTGAGCGCCCGATCCCGCCGCCAACTGCCCCCCGGGGAGCGAGCCCGTGCCCGTTCGCGCGCCCCCGCGCGGAACCGTCTTGGAACGCCATACTACTACTAGTGAGCATGCGCAGCAGAGGCGCGGAGCCATTCCTGAAGCGGAAATTACTTCTCCGGGTCTTCTCAGCGCAGTAACAACCTAACGCTTTAGCCAATCAGCGTATAGGGGCAGGTCTATTAACATGGAGGAGGTGGGACAACCTAAGGACCGGCTCTGTAGGGGAGGAGGGGCGGGACGGCAGGTGAATTTGTTGTAGGGATGCAGGCCAGGGATCCTCAATGAGTCTTGATTGAGACATGGGTCTTCCCTAGTGTTGGCTTAAATGCATTCTTAGGCCAGTGACCTTCCTGAACTTTCTTTTTCCTTTTCTTCCTTCCTTCCTTTCTTTTCTTATTTATTTTGGTTTTCTTTCTCTCTCTTTTCCTATTTGTTTTGGCTTTTCAAGACAGGATTTCTCTGTGTAGACCTGGCTGTATTGGACTGCTCTTTAAACCAGACTGGCCTCGAACTCAAAGATCTGCCTGCCTCCGCCTCGCTTACATTAATTTTTTAAAAATGTATTTGAGTGTTCTGTCTGCATGTGTATCTGCACCATGTGCATGCCTGGTGCCTGCAGAAGTCAGAAGAGGGTGTCAGATCCCCTAGAGTTGCTAAGAGTTGTGAACCAACATGTGGGTGCTGGGCATCAAACCTGGGTCCACTGGAAGAGCATCCATTGTTCTTAATGGATGAGCCATCTCTCCGGTTCTCCTGAACTTTCTTATGCAGCACAGTGAAGCCTTTAAATCTCCTCCACTCCCAATCCAGGACAATGAGATTCAAAATAATGACAATAACAGATCACAAGTTTAAATAAGAACCCAGGAGCTAGACTGGGCAGTGGTAGCAGATGCTTTTAATCCCAGCACTCAGGAGGCAGAGACAGGCTGATCTCCATGAGTTTGAGGCCAGACTTGTTTAGAGAATCAAATCCCAGAACAACCAGGGCTGTTACACAGAGAAACCCTGTCTTGAAAAGACAAACAAGCAAACGAGCAAACAAACAAACAAACCAACCAGGAGCTGGGTGTAGCATGGCACAAATGAAATAGAAGCAGGAGAACCGAGAATTTAGGTCCTCCGCTGTACATCGAATGCAAGGCTGGCCAGGGCTACAGGCTAACGAGACTCTGTTTTTAAAAAGACACCACAAGTGACTAAGTAAATGGAAGATAAAATAAAGGGTTTTCCAGAAATCGAAAAGCTAAAAAGACACAGAAAATACAAAGCCTGGTGGGGAGGGGGCAAGCCTGTAATTTCAGGATTCCAGAGGCAGAGGCAGGAGAATGAGGCCATGTTAGGCTGCATAGTGAGTCCCAAGGAAGCTGATGCTACATAGAATGTCTCAAAAACAAACAGGGCAGTGGTTCCTAACCTTTTTCCAAATGCTGAGAGCCTTTAAATACAGTTCTTTATGTTGTAGTGACCCCCAACCATAAAATTATTTTTTGTTGCTACTTCATAACTGTGATTTTTCTTCTGTTATCTCATAATGTAAATATTTTTGGAGATAGAGGTTTGCCAAAGGGGTTTTGACCCACAGGTTGAAAACCACTGACTTAAAATTTTCAGCACTTACTGCTCTTACAGAGGACAAAGTTCAGTTAGGGGATCTGACATCCACTTCTGGCCTCCTTCAGAATCATGTTACAGATACAGGCAGGCAAATGTTCATACAGATGAAATTAAAATGAATCTTTGAGCACTTGGAAGGCAAAGGCAGGCAATTTCTGTGAGTTTAAGGCCAGCCTGGTCTACAGAGCTAGTTCGGTCCTTATAATTGAGCAGCAGAAAGGATTTACCAACTGAGCCATTTCCCTAACATCAGATCCAGTCCCTCCACCTCAAACCCCCAGCCCATCTCTGTCTCCTGAGTGCTGGGATTAAAGGCATAGCTACCATACCATGCCAGGGCTCCTTATCATCTGACAAAACTAGACCACCAAATGCACACAGCAAAAGAGAAACCACAATGAACTCCATTTAAAAAGAGCATTAGGACAAAAGAACTTACTTCCAGGGTTGGAACAGAATAGCAATATTACAAGCAACAGCCCTGATGAGGCTGAAGTAATGGGTCAGTGGTTAAGAGCAATAACTGCTCTTCCAGAGGACTCAGGTTCTATTCCCAGTGCCCACATGACAGCTCACAACTGTCTGTCTGTGGCTGTGGTGTCAGGGGACCCAACAGCTTCTCACTTCCAAAGGTTCTGCATACACGTACTGCACAGCCATACATGCAGACAAAATTAATGATTCTTTTAATAAAAAAAAAAAACACCTATAAAAGCAACACAGCAAAATGGCAGTTAATTCTGAAGACATGCTTGGAACATAGGGTCCCTACATTTTACATTGAAAAGATAATGGGGAGGCAGCAAGATGGCGGCTGCTGAGAAAGGTTCCCATGTTGGGGTCAAAGCAGACCGAGAACTGGAGGAGCTTCTGGAAAATGCTCTGGATGATTTCAATAAAGCCAAATCTTCCCCAGCATCCCCTCCTAGCACCTCAGTCCCCGATGCTTCAGGGCCCCAGAAGAGATCCCCAGGAGACCCTGCCAAAGGTGCCCTCCTCGCCAGCCAAGAGAAGTTTTTCCAGGAAGTGTTCGATAGTGAGTTGGCTTCCCAAGCCTCTGCGGAGTCTGAGAGGGTGATGAAGCAGCTGGCTGAAGGAGAGCCCCACCTGGTGGAACAGTTCCAAAAGCTCTTAGAGGCAGCTGGGAGAGTGGGCAGTAATGTAAACTCTCAACAAGAATTTACTTCTTGCCTAAAGGAGACATTAAGTGGGCTAGCCAAAAATACCACTGACCTTCAGAACTCCGGCTTGTCTGAAGAGGAACTGACCAAAACCATGGAAGGGCTGGGCATGGATGAAGGGGATGGGGAAGGGAACATCCTACCCATCATGCAGAATCTGCTCTCTAAGGATGTACTGTACCCATCCCTGAAGGAGATCACGGAAAAGTATCCAGAGTGGTTGCAGAGTCACCAGGAAACTATTCCTCCAGAGCAGTTTGAGAAGTACCAGGGGCAGCACAGCATCATGGGCAAAATATGTGAGCAGTTTGAGGCAGAGATGCCCACAGTGAAGCTACTCACAGGGCTCATTTTGAGAAGGTGCTAGGTCTCATACTTGGGTCATCCTCCAAAAGAGCTGGCTGAGGAGATGCCTCCTGGACTCAACTTTAACCTGGATACCCTCAATCTCTCAGGCCCATCAGGTGCCAATGGCAAACAGTATCTGATCGTGTGAAACACAACACATTTTCCTCCCTGAGTCCCAGACATGGAGAACATGTGGAGTCAGCAGAACCATTGGGAACAGGAAGGAGTATCGTCTCTGGGAGCTGGTTGCCCCACACTCTACATCCCATTCAAGGCTATGCGGATCTATTCTGTAGGCCGTTTCTATGAGCCTTACTCCATCATGTGTTCTGCTGTTAGAAACAGGCCGGTTCATTGCCAGGTGAAGGAAGGCATCCCTTTGGGGGCATTTCACTTCTTCCCGCTCCCCAAAATAATGTTATATATGGCTGTACTCATGTCCCCTTTACTCCCAGGGACTTCGTGCCTTGTTTCTACTCGGTCTCTTGGATCTGGGGAGCAGGAGCTGAGTCCTAAGACTTTGTGTTTCTGGCAGGGCCTCTGGGAATGAGGAGAAATGTAGCTTGCCCTGGCCCTGTAGGTTTGTCACCACATCTCCTTGCCTTAATTTTGAACTCTCTGAAGGGAAAGGAATTTCGCACTTACCTGTGGTCAGGTTGGAAGAGAAGCCTTGGGTTTTTCCTGTCTCTAGGAACTGGACGCTTAATTCCCTTTCCTCCTGAGAACTCAAGTTGCTACCTTGGTTCATTCAACAACTCTGTGGTTTGGGTGAGACCAGCTCTTGACCTTCTTTGGCCCCTTGGCTGTCCTCTTTCCTCCTCTTGTTTTAGATTCTTTTTACTCCAGCCCCTCTGAACCAATGTGATTGTTGAAGGCCAATCTTGTTTCCTTTCATCTACTCCTGTACCATTCTCACCAGACCCTTCCCTTCCCTTCCCTGGCCAGCAACACATAATTGTAGTGTCAGAGCTGGCAAATGAATGGCCATTCTACCCAGATTCATTCTGGATTGCTTGAGACATCAGATTCCCTAGAATCCTTGGTTCAGGAAGGTGCTTGGGGAAGGGGTGCAGCCTGGGTCTTTTTCCCCGAAAGCCCCAGGGGACAGGATCTAATAAATACTCTGAGTGCATGTGTGGGTTATTTTTCATCCAGGTCTGTTTCTAATTTTCCTGAGCTTCTATAAGCTGCAGATGGGAAATGTTAGGAGATAGTTCTGTGTAATGTTATTCGAGTTTCTACCATGACCCCACCCTCCAGCTTAGGCTGCTCTTCCTTTGGTAAAAGGATGTCTTCATCTCCTTGGTATTTCAGTCTTAACTTTTGACATTATAATTGATGTTAATGATATATTGTTAACATGTTTTCTAAATTACCTAGGTTTAGATCTAAGGACCATGGTTGCCATATATTTTATGGATATTAATTTTAGCCCTCTAGCTGTGTAGTTCACTTGGAAAATAACTTTTAAAATATATATTAATTTATTCTTTGGGAATTTTATACATGTATACAATGTATTTTGATCATAACCACCCCCCTGGAAAATAACTTTTACAAGAACAAATTCACATTTATCTTTTTGAGGAAAAAAAAAAGATAATGTTTTTCATACTCAGAGGTGGTTTTTAAAGAATAAGAACCTATCTGTAAAAGGACTAGAAGCCAAAGCATTTGCCTTTGGGGGTCTCTGGAAGTGGGAGTTCTCAACTTGGAGACTGGAAATGGAAGGCAGCAGTTTTCCTTTCTCTCCTATCCACAAGTTGGAGAGGGGTTCGGGCTGTTTGTTCCTGTGTGATCTCCTGAGGTTGCCTCAAACTCTTGTTAGGGGCTCAGGCTGTGTGTGTGTGTGTGTGTGTGTGTGT